GACTTTCAAACTATCACGCAATCAAAATCTAGAGCTCATAATGTAATTGTTTAATAAAATTACATGTATGACAAACACGGCTGTGGATAGTGTGAAACTTTTTTGTTCTCACCGCATTATTAACGTCATCTATGATATAGAGCTAGATAATTTGCATAAATTCAACGAGAACCTTTCAAACGCAAAATGGTCCTCATTCACAGCATAGAGAACCCAATGAAGCCTATAACGATTTTATTGAAGAATACTAAGAATCTACAAGAAGAACAGACTCTACAAAAAATTCGTCAAATCACCTCCCACATCTTCTGAGACGAGGGACAAGGCCTCCGAAAACAAACTCACCCATCTTATTCGCATTGCCACACGAAAATATACTACACTAAATTTGAGAGTGCCAGAAATGACAACAACACAGCTTGGACATTGTTAACAACAAGCATAAAAACAAGTTATCTCTTCACACGTCATTTAATCTGAAGGAAGAACATATACGGATCCCATGCCGGGAGATCGCTGACAGATTATGTAAATACTTTAAACCCAGACAGAAGTAATTTAACTCCAACTTTTCTCCCTCCTGGCCTTGGAGGTAAACCCTGTTGAAGTCCTAAATGTAATAACTGTCCTAAATGTAATAAAGTCCTAAATGTAATAACATTTGGTCCTAAATGTAATAAAGTCCTAAATGTAATAACATTTAGTCCTAAATGTAATAAGCCTCCAATGCAATCGTTTGACTCCTACAGTGCATTGTTGTCATGGCGGACATCCACATTGATTTGTAAGTGACAGCTGTTGCACCAAAAAAACCGCTGACCAGTTTAGTTTACATGTCACATTGTGGGCTCACTGATATCAATCAGCGTCTTTTTACTTGCTAGAAATATCAGCAGTCGAAGTATGGTCCTTAAAGCGGTTTATCGATCGAGTTGAAGAAAATCATTTCCAGCCCAAAGTGGGCTAGTACTTGGCTGGAAGCTCAATAGGATGGAATCGATTGGTACGTAACCATTAAGACTTTTTGGAAAAGAAATTGACTACAATTGATGATGAACTAGCATGCTGTTGTTGATGTTATCGTTCGTGTTAAAGTCTTTAGTAGTGATGCACCATTTTAGAGCAGTTTGAATGATTTCGCTGTGTCACATGTTAATCCAAAAGAAAATTTTTATTATCAGTAGCGTTATTGAAATTTTGCACATCAATGTTATTCAGTGTCGATTGATTCTGATGAAGCATTTGAGTTCATTTTTAAGAATGACTATCCTGATTTATTCAATTTTGAACTTGGGGTATTGCATTTCCAGCCCTCTATGGCTTTACTCCACCTCAGTAATCAGTTCATGTACCATATGACTATAAGTGGAAACTGTTGAGCTTTCTTTTTTCATTCATCTATTTATCTATTCATTTTCTCCCCTCACGGTGGGGAGAAGAGGTGAAGACAACAAATGAAATATAAACTTGAGATCAACTGTAAAATATATGTTTTCCTAATATTTCGGTTCGCGGAACTGATGAACCCGTCATAAGGGGCTAAAGGAAAAAAAATGAATGGTTCATTAGACCGTCAACTGACCATCATGTGTTGATTGGTGTAGCTCAATGGTTCAATTTGACTCTTGCGTGGAGGTAACATGTCAAGACCTGTGATCGTGAAATGGGATAGCATATGATTGGTCAGTCGATATCTTGCTCTGCAAGTCACTTTATCAAATAGCTAGCAGCGCACGTGGGCAAGATGAAGTGAATCCTGTGTTCTGATTGGCTACCTAAGCGGGCATGATGGGCCCACCCTCGCCCGCTCGGGATACCCCGTATTGATCCCACGCAAGAAAACTTACAAAGTTCGTAACTTTTGGACAATGTTTGCATATACATAGAAAAAAATAAACGACCATCTTGGGTTTATTGTACTGTAAACACAGTTGGCTTTCACTATTGGCTCTCGAAATAAACAGGCCATTCTTGATTCTTATCAAAGCGAAATCTTTTGCTATACAATGAATCCTTTAATGATTAAGCCAAGAGAATATAAACTCTCTTGACCAAGCTTGTATGGTCAAGATTACTGGATATTAGCCTCGTTCTTTTTCTACTTTTTTATGGACCGTGACCTCGTCTCCGTCCATAAAAACGCAAAAAAAAAAGAACTCAGCCAATATATAGCCATTTTGACCTCACGCTTGGTCAATAACGCATATGAATATATTTTATGCAGACCCCTACAAATCTGTCAAGGGAAGACAGTACAAAGAATGCCCTTCTGAGCCCAGAATTTGTCTAACCTATGAGTCGGTGGACTTCTTTTTCCTTGTAATTCGGTTCATCGAGTGTTAACTTCAGCACTGATGACAGAAGTATTTCGTCAAAATCTGTTACACTTAAGAGTCTGAGCCAATGATATAGAGAGAGCTATAATTGCTCCGTTCTCGTCCATCAATTTGATGCCAAAAGCACATCAGCATCAGTATAAGGTTTTGTAGCCAATGCTTCTCAACCTACCTCTTTAACAAATAAAAAGACGCTGATTAATATCAGTGAGCCCGCAATATTTTATAGATATTGGTCAGAGGATTCTTTAGCGCAACAGCTGTCACTTTAACATTTCAATGTTAGCGCAGTTAAACGATTGCATAGGAGGCTTATTACATTTAGGACCGAACGTTATTACATTTAGGGCTTTATTACATTTAGGACCAAATGTTATTACATTTAGGACTTTATTACATTTAGGACAGTTATTACATTTAGGACTTCAACAAACCCTACAACAGTCCAACATAACTAAATTCTTGGGGTCTATCGATGATGATGTTGACGATCATCTCACCTGGAAACATCATATCAGCTACGCGTGTAAACAAATCGCTTAATCAATAGGTATTACACTTAGGTCTTACTTTTTCCTATCCAAATAAACTCACTTTGTCCTATACCTTAATTTATCCTTACATCGTCTATTGTAACTCCGCCTGGTCATCCACATACGTATCGAACTTGAATAGAATTTATCATTTGAAGCGAAATGTACGGACTATCACCAACTTAAACTATGGAGCCCATTCCGCCCCTTTATTCTCCAAACTAGGAATTTTAGATATATTCCACGTCAATACCGTTGAAATCGCCAAATTCATATTTTTATAACAAATAACCTATTGCCCCCATTGCTTCTCATTCTTCTTGTAACGAATGGTACCAAAACAGCCAGTAATTATCGAACGCATTTGTGCCTTACAAGTCTCAATCTATTTACAATTCTCTACCAAGGTCCTAAAATTTGGAACTCTTTTCCCGTTTCAGTCACTCGTTCGTCAAATCTTCTTCGCTGTGGCCTCTACCGGGTCTCCTCGCCTTCTATAAGTGATACTGCCGTAGATATCTTTTTTGCATTATTAAAAAGATAAATAGTGAATGATGATGATGATGATGATGATGATGATGATGATGAATTATTACTGAAAGGACCAACGGTATCACGGTATGTACAAATTAAATCTAGCACTGACGTTAAGAAAACTTTTTGAACGACCTCTCGAAGTTTAATGGCAGAACTCCCTCTCGATTAGCCATGTCCCATCACTTCGTACATGGATATAATGAAATCGACAAAGATATCTCACTCCTTTTTCTAGTACCTTGAGGAGTGGTAACTCTAAGACATTTTTAAGACCACGTTCAAATTACAACAAGCATGGAAATAGCTTTTTTCTCTTGTCAGTTAAGCAGTCGAATAAGTTTCCTGATTGCATTGTTGACATAGAGGATAATTTTTAATCTAAGACCGCAATACGAAACCAAGTTATTAAAACAGGTGAGTGGTTATAGTTTATTTAATTATTCATGTATATGTATAAATATAAATATTCTATACACACACACACATATATTATATATATATATATATATACATATTATATATTTACATATTTCTCGTTTAAATTGTTAATTTGACCTGTATAATTTTATTCATTTTACTTACAGACCGTATTATTTATCGTACGTATCAATACCTTATCTAGATTGATGTGATGCAGAATACCGCTTTTTCGGCCAGTAAAGAAGGTTTACAAAAATTTTCACGATATACTGGATCGAGTAAGTTAAAGCCTCGAAAAAATCGCAGCTGCTCTTTTGGAGAAAGAGAGTAAAGAAAAAACGGTGTCCCCGACAACCTAGAACTCCTGAAGACATTGTGTAAACCTGAGGCTTATATTCGGAATTGTGCGGCAATTATTTTGTTTGAGAAATAACAAGAGATTAACTAAACAATAAGAGGGCAATAGTCCTGCTGAAGAAACGACTAAAGATTAATTATACTAAATACTGTACCGAAACTTTTGGTTATTGGAAAAAGTACAATCTCCCCATCAATATCAAAGAATTGATTGTTAACCTTTGGTTTTTATAAAACAATCATATTTCGTCTCAACAATAACGTCAGCGAGATGCTAAAATAGGTCGTGCATATGTGCATGTTTAAGCGAGTGTAAAATACGCTTGCGGCCGTTGCGTTTGGAGACGCCCTCCGCCCCTGGGCTTTGAAAGTGAGATTTTCACCAGAGTGAAAAGTTCTTCGTTCTGACGAAAGGCTAACACTCGAAAATTTAGTTTTATTAAGACCTATTGACTCTTAACGGTGGCCAATTTACGTTATAACTTGGCTGATAAAACCAAATCACTAGTTGTTACTTTTCCCACCGACGCAGTAAGAGTTTCTCTAGAAACTTACCCCTTTTATTTTCATCTGTTAAACTACTTCAGAATCTTACCATGGTATGCCTTAATGTCGTGTTCCTTGATATCCAGGCAAAGTTCTCCCATTAACCATGGACAGTCAACTATCATCTTGTCGAAGTGACAAAGTGGCGGGCAAACCGAGTGGTAACCGCGTTGGGTAGCCGCGTTCTTCCAAGTTTTGGCGCGAAAATCTTGGTTATTCACCTTCAGGCTTCGGTTCCGATTCGTGACGTGTGATGTGTTTTAACAAGACCATTTATTCATCTCCTGATTTATTACCATTTGTTTAAGTATTTATTTCGCTGAATACTTATTTACCTTAGGATGAGAAATTGGCATCGAGTCTCCTCGACTTTTGCTTACGTGCGTGGATTCCCGCGCGTTACACGAACTTTGAGGATGAAAGAGAGGCTGCTAGGACCCAGGATTACCGTCTCTAATAATTCATCGACTATCCAAGATGGCGGAAGATATGAGAGAGCAAGTAGCCCAACTTTTAAAAGGAATAGATAGGTAAGAACAATCAAAAACTGTCCATTAATTTTTTAGAAAAACAGTTAGGTGTCAATTCCTTGACATCCGCGTAGAGATCTCAGTTTTTAAAACCGATCTTGGATGCCTGACAATCTGTTTCTCTCTACCCACGTGTGAATTCTAAACCCTAGGACTATAGTTAAGTCAAGAATACGATACCATTTTTCTTTACCATGATTGACTGCTTAGTTTGTTTGATTGCTTCTGTCAGTAACTTGTCTTGCAAAGTGAATTTTAAGGGTTACTGGATGGGGATCAGACAAAATTTGGTGTCCTAATAATCCTAAAACCGCGACTCTTTGACCGGTAAAAGTGAACGTTTACTGATTGAGGTTTTACGAATTAATACATGAGAATCAAAAATTATGGTAGCGTTGTTGAAAAATACTTCTGGAGGAAGTGAAGAGGTCACTCTGAAGAAGAAACCTACTCTCTTACTGGAACATAACTTGTAGACGAATATGTATTTGAATAGTAAATAATATACTCGTTTGTTTTTCCCAGATACAACCCTGAAAATCTCACAAACCTGGAGGGCTATGTTAATTTTCAGGTGATGATTATGGTCACAAACTTATCAAATTCTGACCACCAAACTTAAGTTTTAAATTTACACGTGTTTTCAGGAAGTAATTAAGTGTACATGTACATGTACATGTATCAAATGTTGATCCTATAGCATCAAAAACTTGCAGGTTGTATTTTGCACATTTGTGATATTTCAAGTCTAACAGAAATAAGTTTACACAGTGTACAACCACCTCAGTTTCTGCCAGAAACAAACTATGGTGATTTTGTCTCTTAATATTCAAGCTGCAGAAGATTAACAGGAAATTTAATTTGATAATTTCATCTTTCATCACCTTTTCAGTTTCAGCACACTGTATTCAACTCCAAGAAGTAAACACATGACAGTGGCTCCAAATAAGAACTAACAGCCTGCAATCAAACCCTTCCTTCTCTATTGGACCTTTTTTTTCAACCCTTTCACTCCCACATCCTTATTAGTACAGTAATCCTCCTTACTGTTTTCTATACTGTTCTTATTATGCTAGTGTGGAGACTTTGGTATTGGAACAACTTATAATCCTCTATGTGATATTTTTCTTTGTCCTCATGACTTGTCTGTTTGATATTGTATCGACATTGTAAGGAGAAATTCTGTCTTAGCCACTTGTGGAAGTTAAAGGGTTAACCAGAGTAAACATATTTATATTTTTGAGGCACTTTATAACATGGGATTTTTTTTATATACAAACTTATCTTTGTAGATTAAGGAAAGTACGAAAAGATAAAAAATATAAGATTCAACAAACTTTTCATGTCAAACCATAGTTAGGCACCTTTCATAATCAGATTGAATCCTTATTTTTTAAATTTTTTTTTTCTGAAACTCCCTAGATATATTTACTTTCATCTTGTAAGATGGACACAATTTTGCATCTTATCAACTCATTGACATGATAACCAGCCTACACATCTTGAGAATTGCCTCAAGATCATATTTTCCTTAAGTAATATGTGTTCTGGTTTGTTCATTAGGTCTACAACAATGCTTATGATTTGGATGCAAATTTGGCAGTTTTGAAGTTGTAAGTGTTAGTGTGCAGTTTCTTCTTGTAAGCTTGAGTCATGTAACTATTTATTACAACTATGCAAACAATTGTGATATACATATTGTATATACTATACAGGGTGACTTAAATATCACTTCCAAGAGTGAAGTACCATTTATGGAGCTGTTTCAGTGTACATTTAATGTTAAATTAAGTGTAACAGAAGAGGATTACTGTAATTTTTAGAGAAATTTTACAAACCATGTAGCTTCTTTTGCTAGTTTACACATACTCCACCGATGAACTACTAGTAAAAGAATCGAGAATGCCAGTTGCTTTCTTGGGACTGCCCATTTTGTCTGGCGAAAAAAAAGTGAGAAAAGAATTCATCCATAGCCAACTTAATCCCTTATCAGTACTTATGGGACATTTTTATCACCAACAACTAAAAATTTCCCTGGTAATATTTGCAATGATTGAAGTGCAGAACATGTTTGTTTTGATATCCTGAAAGCCAAATTAAAGAAGTCCTGTAATTACAAGTAGTTTTGTAAATGTGTTTTACAGCTCTTTGGGCTTTGTTGGCCTTACTATGAATCCTTTGCTGACTTGGTTTGTTTGGTCATCATAGCAGGATACATGTTGGCTTCATCCTTTTTTTTTTGTTTTGTTTTGTTTTTTTGTTTTTTTTTCATATCACAGCACTTATATCTCAGTTAATAATTGATTGGTCAATTTAGTGGGCTGTATTTCACTGTACAACCTGCTAAAATCAAAAGTTTGTTAACTTTGAATCAACACCCCCCCCCCTTAATTTGAACCTGGAGATAAAATAAATATCATATTAACCTTGTTTTCTCTGTGCTTATTGTTAGTTATGAACCTTGTTTTTTCTGCTTGGAGTTATGCCTGTGCTTCATGCTTGGGCAGTAAATCCAAGCAGAAAAGACTTGGTTGGTTACTTACAGTAAGGACCTTAAACTCAGTAAGTGGTATTTCAAAAATGTTTTTAATAAGATGTTTGCAACATTTCTTTTTTCCTTTTCAGGTACCAGTTCAACCCTGCATATCACCAAACAACAGTCACCATGCAGATTCTACTGAAGGCCCTCATGATGTTGCCAAATGCTGACTTCATTATGTGCAGATGTCTTATTGATGATGCCAATGTATCTTTTGTTCTGTGAGGTTATGTTTAACAACTGTAATACTATACATGGAAAAATTATGCACTTCTGATTGGCTGAAAACAAGGTTATTCTTATATAACACGAGTACAAAGTTATAACACAAGTGCAAATTACAAATAGTGCACACACACTTTCAAAATTTCACCAGTCTTGACGTTCCTGGGGATGAGGCTATGCTCCTTTCTTTGAACCCCAAACTGTGTTTTGTTGTTTGCTTACATATTGTAATCTCCTTTGAGATTGTCCAGAAAGCAACAAACGTTTCAGACATATTTTAGGTGTTCATGGTTTTCTGAGTTTGACATTGAGACTCAAGACCGAAGTCAATTATGTGCATGTCCCTCACCCTTCCCCTCCTGGGGACAATTTTGTGCACCTTTTTATAAGTCCAGCTTATGTTTGTTCTGTCAACAAAGCAACGACTTTCCTGCAAAGTTTGATGTTTAAAGTAGGATAATCACAACTGGTAGTTATCAGCCTGTTAAAATCTCCTTTTCAAGCCTGCGATTTTCACCTATCAAAACTGTGACCCTGCACCAGCTCCATACTTTGTCATTTGTCAAATTGCTTAGCAACAAGCCTTTGTTGTATTTGGGTACATCACCTTAACTGTATAACTTTAGCAACAAGATCCAGCTATAGCAAGAGTCATTAAACTTGCAGAATTACTGGAAACATGTAACTTTTTGGAGGCTTGGGTGAGAGTTAGTGAATACTACTGTTGTGTGGTTATGTGGAAAATTATTCTGACACTTGGTAAAATGTTACGTACAGTTATAAATTGGAAGCAATAGCTGAATTATTCAAGGTTCTTAGTAACGTAGGGAGTTAGAACGTAGAGACAACTTTATTTTGAATAATAAAGGCAAAGCCATTATGAGGGGGCTGACCTGGATGCACTTTCCTTCAGAAAATGTTCGGAAATTTAGTGGCTTTGAATCCAATTTTATATTTTTTTGCATGCAAAGTAGTGTAGTATTGGTTGGCAAGGTGAAAAAGTACTAGCTTGAGAGCAGAAGAGAGCTTAAATAGTGAGAAAGTTTAAAGCAAATTTTATTGTTGAATAAGTGTGTAAGTTTTTTGTAAGAGCTTTTTTCCTACTTTTCTCTTTAACACTTGCGTGTGTATTTCTTCTCAACTTACACACATTTTTGCAATGATACAAAAATTTCAGGTTTCATAGCTAGTAAATGGCAATTAATGGGAAACCTCATTATTACTGAATGGATTCAATAAGAGTTGTTATTGGGAATCAACCAGCAATATGACTAATTTTATTTTCAGAAATATCTAAATGAGGACAGTTCCCTTGTGGATGGAATTGTTGGTTTTCATGATGCCATTAGGAAGTGTGAGTTGTACAATAATATTTTCTTATCACAGATAAGGAATTAAAAATAAAAGCTAAGTTTTTCCATTTGTCTCATGATGTAGTCATGTGTGATCTTATAAGCATGATACTCTGCTGTGATAAGTTGTTTTTTAATAGCTCTGAATTTAAGGTGGGTGGCAAGGAATTTTAGGTGGCTGGCAAGCTTAGGATCCCATAATTTTATGGGTCTGCCACTCAACACATTAGTCTTACACCTGTGAAACAATTCCTGACCAATGAAAGATATCATGCTATCACACCTCAACTGACAAATTTTCATCAAGGAGAAGTACGCTCCAGACACCATTTAATTTTTATCTCTTTCATTAAAGAGTACATGTGGTCTTTAGTTAAGAATAACCTACAGTGTTATCATGGTTTGGGATTCTTTAGATCAACTTGAAGTTAACTGTTTGAAAATTGTCCTCAAATATACTTGAAAATATGGTTATAAATGCTGCCATTTATGTACAGTTCACAGACAGTCTCTACCCTGGTTATGGCAAAAAGTCAGTACTTGAGCAAAAAATGCCATTGTATGTTACTCATTGTTCTTGAGACAGATATCAAATAAAATTATTGATGACAATGAAATTAAGATTATTAGTTATTTTGGTTTGGAAATTTTCATTCGATCTACATGTATAGCTCACATCAAGTTTGATGTAAATTTGATACAGATGCAAGTTACGTCATAGGCATAACATACCAGACCATTGATAAAACCCACATATCAGAACTTCTTGGAGGTCTTCAAGGTTGGTTTGCTTTAATTATTTTTTTTCTGAAAATAAAGGATCCAGTCCTGTGAAAGTCCGTGAAAAGGCTGTGTGAACCCTCAACACCTTAACATCACTATGCGTATTCTCCTTACTGTTCCCTATACATTTTCTATGGCACTGACAAGGAGAATTTGAACACTTAAGAGCTTCTCTAGTGGGTGATCATATTTCTTATTCTCATGGCCTTAATGTTTGATTCAACAGTGGTTCTGTATGGAGAATAAGAAAGCCAATCACCCATGAGGGTAAAGGATGAATCACATTTTCATAATGTTTGTGTTTGGCTCCTCCTTGAATTACTGGTAGCTGTTTCGCTAAATATAATAAAAACTTCCTGACCAATCACTTTTTGCTTACACACACCACACTTCTTCTCTCAGCTTATCTGGGTTTCTGTAGAGCGAAGTAAGAACAGTAGTCTTTGTTGTAATCTTCCTTGCCTAACCTACAATAAAACTGAAAATAGTACAGCCTGCTCAGAATAACCAGCGAAGCTAGGCAGCCATGCAGAGCCAGACGGGCTAGTGGAGTCAGGGGGGTGCAGAGTCAATCAGCTGTAAGAAGTTACAGCATTAGGAGTATGGCATCTTTTCTTACATGAGATGCTAGTCTTCACAGGTTAGCGAACCCAAATAAAGTCAAAGTGAGACCACATTCATGTACATTTTCTTCTGATTTCCAGGAGAAGAGCTAGATGAGTGGATAAAAGTTCAGAACTGGACAATCAAGGAAGATGGTAAAGTCTTTGTTAGCAACCAAGAGGCGCATATCAAGTCTAAAAACATTGCAGAGAAAATCGACTTAGACAGTGAGTTGTGGTGAATTATTGATTCTCTTGAACAGATGTACCAGTACAGCAACATAGTAGATAAGGCACCTTCAAATTTCGATTTTATCAGATACATATTTCCCGATAAAAACAGTGCGTCTTGTTGTCATCGTCAGAAGAGGTTGTTATCGAGATGCTATGTTTTGTACTTGATTTTTCTTTAAAATGCTCATCAAAATTGACCCTAATGAACAACTGGTACTGTAATAAGGGATTACAAGGCTCCTTTGTTCCGTCACTTTATTTTTAGCCTGGCATGGTGTGACTCTTCAGTGGCATCACACAGCTTGCCCATTTTATGGCCGCGCACGAAAAACAATTCTCGTGAACCACCCGCTATAGTCCAGCAGTATCTTTTTTCGTCCTGAGGGTGTGTTTAACCCAAGATGGTGTGCGTCCCAAGGGTGTATGCTCACAAGACCTTTCTCTTTCGATATGTCTGGATGCGCACCAGGGAAATCAGGATGCTAGTCATCTTTGGGGATCAAAAAGTTAGGGCCCCCTCTAGAAAAGTTTTGGGTGGCACCATGGGCTTTCATAAAAACAACTTTGTTTTGATTGGCTTTTGTGATTCCCTTGGGTTTAGTATGACGACACTCATTTGAAAAGCATTGTACATGCTGTCCTTCTAAGAACTTAGGAAAGGAAAGGACTCAGCAACCTAAATTATAACCAGTTGCTGGTTGTAAGTGCCTCAGCGGTGTCCCCCATTAGTGCTAATTTTCTGCGTCATCAACATATCCTGTCATTTGGACCGTCAATTCTTTGAGAAATTGAGAGGAATTACTTCTTGGTTGATTTTGGTTGGTAATCCCTTTTAAACAACTCAATTCTTTTTTTTCTTTTCTTTTTTTTTTTTTTAATAGGTGTTGCTGGGATAATTGCTGCAGCCAAGTGAAAATATTTTTGACTGATTAATCATTCCTATACCTAACGTTTCTCCTCATATCTATCCTAAACTTATCTTACTGAAGTCATGTAGGACATATCTTTCTTTGCAAAAAAGTGAAAGGAAAGTGATCTGTCACGTGGTAAGATGAAATCCACGTGCGCTCTGCATTTTGTCACAATTCTCGTTTTTAAATGCCACAACAGGGAAGGAAAGGGAAGCAAGCAGAGGAGGAATGTATCACTGGAGAGAAGTTGATTGAAATAAACTGTGCATTCAGTGTTACTGTAATTCCAAGTTAACTTGCATTTTATTCCACAAATCTCAAAATGAACGAAGCTTCTCAACCCAAAGGATATTAAAGTATTAAACCATATTTGTGTGGCTCTTATTTACTTGCAAATTTTTTCGGGGTTGAAAATATTAAAGTTCACATCTGTTGTCCTATCCTTCTTTCTTAAATTTCAGGGTCTTTTCTTTTTCATTTGTGGTCAGTTATTCAACAAGAGGGCTTGACAAACCAGTTTCTCGTTTATTAAAAATACCCTACAGCAATTTTTCTTTTTCCTTCTTTGCGGAAATTCCACCATTTCACAGCAACGTATTTTGAGGAAGAGGTACTCTAGTGAAAAACTGCGAGTGAGTACCTGCAGCTGTTAGAAGTAATTATTTACGCCAAGACTCAATAACTCGAAATAACTCGCGTTTTTGTTTCGCGTGAGAGACGTCTCTAACTTGTGTGTTGTGAAGTCGAGTTTTAAGAGGTGGAGCGGTTGACCCCACACAGAACCCTCCTCCTTTATCCGGGCTTGGGACCGGCTAGATATTCCCTCTAGGAAACATCTAGGCGGAGTTAAACTCGATTAACAGAAGGCATTACAAAACTGGGGCCAACAGCCCTACAGGGAGGAATCGGTATCCCGAACACAAGCCGCACGTGAGAGCACGAGCGCCAAAATCAAAATTCACGTACCATTCGCAACGCCCGTGTCTCGCCTCTCGCGCTCGTCCAGTGCTTGTCTCCGATTGCCTAAAGAAAGCAATGATGCTAATTATCATCATCATGGTCATCACCATCATCAGGACAATAATAGTAGCCATGATTATGATAATACTACTATTAAAAAATAAACAAATGACTAGACTATCGCACTTTAGCACAGATTAAACACACGGTTAGAAAAGCAAAAGTCACCAGGTACGCACCGAGGTGTGACCCATAGGGAAGGAGAGGCACAGTCACCTCAAGAAACAGCAGGAAAGAATCGCGAGTGACGAGGCTAACAAGGCAGGCTTCATCTGGTGGCAGTTAGAGAAGAAAGTCTAATAGTCGTACTCGTATGTGAGTAAGTTGACTTACTGACAGTTTTTCTCGCTCTGAATTAACTATGAAATTTCTGTAAAATAAATGCAGACCAATTCCCAGAATAGGAATCAACAAAAACGTTAATTTTAGCGAGTACCAGTAATGGATGGTGATCTTATGGGAAATTACTCGGACTCTATGTTTATGCAAAATGTAAGATCTAACGAAAATAAGAAACATCAACTTAAGAAATCTGTGCATGTTTTCCTGAATTCTTTATTGCAGGCAATTTTTTCCTGGCCCCTGTCACGAAGAGCCAATTTTCGTTTATTTCAGACCCTTTGCGCACGCTCTACTTAGCCTGCAACTGCTTCCTGTGTTTCTACACCAAAAGTTATAATTTTACAAGCGACTACCTTTTCATTTTTCCCCACAGACGAAACAAAAGGGAAGAAAAGGGAAAATGTGGTTGTATCAGCAGTTATTTGCTAGAACTAGATCCTAAATAATCCCGCGATAAAGAATCGAAACTTTTTATAATCAGCCTTTCCCGACGTGCGTTTTTTTTTCATGTAACACTTTGATACCAGAGTTAATGAACCAAGAGTAAGAAGGCTACTAACTCTGTTGATACCATCCAGTTCAAAAACTTAGGACGTAACGCTGTTGACAGCGTTTGGCTCAAGAATTCACAAGAGCACGACTCTTGACAATTGACCAAAATCAATCAAACAACGGTTTCAATAACTTTTCATGGGCGGCTTTGCCCGAAAAGTGGCAGTGAGGCGAGACCCAAACACGAGAGCCTGCGCGCAGGCTTAACAGAAAGCAGTAGACAGCATGTCATCGGCTTTTATCGAAACTCCTGCTTAATGACACCTATTCGTAAAATCGGAGATTTCAATTGAGGATATTTTACGTCAGCCTTCCAGGCTGAATTTATTAATATAACAGAATTTCGGCGTTACAAAGTGTTTCGTTTCGTCGACCTTCCTTATTTAAATCTTTGATATCTGAAGCCAGAAAATATTTCGTGAAAGGGTTCAGCATGTTGAATATCATTATGCAAAACTCAAACCAAATTTCTTTTGTAAAAACGGTCTAAGTCCATCCATACCATGCCATTTATGCTTAAGTGTGCTGCTGGTATGGAATGCCAGAGGCCCTGGAACGATTTTCACATCCACGGGAAGTTAGCCGTGCAAAATAAATATCAGCTCACTTGGCGATCCTTGGGTTGTCTGCCCGAATTTGAAGACTTAATTGACAGGGGCGAGGTGTAGATACCAATACTGTCCTTATTTTGGCGGGGAACTCGGTAAACTAATGGTTAGCACGCAAGACTCCGGATCGAGAGATCTGAGTGCTGATTCTGTCATTGTGTTGTGTTAGAAACTTCACCCTCACAGTACCTCTTTCTCCTGCTGGGAGAGTAAACGGATACCGGTGATGCAATTGAAAGAAGCAATTGAAAACTCCAAGTGGCTTCATACTAAAAAATCTGGGATGAGAGTATAGATAGTAATGACCTTCTCAATTTAGCAATCCTCAGAGGCAGCTATTCTAACCCACAATACCAGCATATCAAACTGCCAATTGTTATCGTTTTGCTATGAAGGCCTTTTTTTTTTTTGGTTCTTTTTTTAAAGCGAAGTAGTACTCGAAGTTGGTAACTCAAAGACCACTTCTTCAGCTGCATAACCGACAGTACTGAGCATGCAATGGCAAATGTTCGCCAGAAAGCATCCTTGCGTACTGACGGCGAGGTAGTCAGTTCAAGGGTTGCCTACAAGTTTCCTTTTCTCTGACGCGAAGGAAAGTGACGGAAATGAATTTCATGTAACTCGGTTTTTGGTTTGTGAGGCGGTACACTTTCTTACCTGAGAAAGAATGATTGAAAATCGTTACAGAACGCCTCTCCAAATGCCGGTACGTAAAGCGTGTCGATATTCGACGCCAAGAGGCGCGAAATCCAAAAGCGTTCACTCTTATGCAACGGCCGAGAGTTATCTAGTCATCCATAAAGGTTTTCTTTCTTCCTTCCTCTATCGCTTTCTCTATTTTTCAGATCCACAATAGCAGTCAATTTTCCGGTTTGCTCGAACTCTTGGAGTGGGGAAGCAAGGAACAATTTGCTTAAAGGAAGGGAAACGCAAACCAGTAAACGGTAAGGCGGGAAGGAAAGGTGTGACGACGAGTACGGAAATCCACTGACTTACGCTTCTCTCTTCTTATCTTTTCTTGACTTATCTGTCAATATGACCTTGTCATTCCTTTGAAGATGGATCCACGTCACTCTAAACCTGCGTCCTCCTCGAACTTACTGGAGCGTATAATGGTGAAAATGTTTTCGACTTTACTTCTCCTGTGTTCATATTTGACCATCATTTTTCACTCTTTGCTGGCGTTACAGCCCATTATAAACTGAACTGCTAAGCCGTATGGGTCTACACATCCGGAACGAATTTCAAACTTTTTTCTTAATGACACGCACATGCTAACCAAAGCCGAACGAAGACTGATGAAGGAGTTTAACCATCCGAACTCCTAACCAGACAAAATGTTCCAGCTACAATGTTCAAGTCTAGAATCCGCCAAGAATGTTTGCAAAAATTCGCAATCCGTAAGGGGCCAAATCCGTTTACCCAAAAACCTAATGACAGTCAGCGTCTCGCCCCAGCTCCACTCGTCCTCTTTAAGTAATCATCAATCTTACCATTCTCTTTCCCGGAAGACTCCTTCGGGTTTAAGAATGAAAATTTGCGTTCGTTAAAGGAGATAATTGTGGTATTCCAGAGCGAAATAAAAGCATGGCTGTATTACTTTTGGTGATGAAATCGGCCAAGATAACCCCTACCGGCAAATACAGGATCAAGCTGAGAACACTCCGAAAGGTTACCTAAATGACCGCAAGGTAAGTGAATTCTCGGAATCAGATTGCCTTCCATCAATCACGTGTTTCTTGTTTGTCACGCAGCCTACACGTTAGCGTTCAGTTTGACTTCGAAGGTACTCCGTCCTCCGCCTTTGTCCGGCAGCAAGAAAGATGCTTTTTGAGAGACTGATTTGCCTGTGAAGTCGATTCAAGAAACGTCACCTCGCATTGTCTATCTTTGGTTTGTTCGTTTATTCGTTTTTTTTGTGTGAGTTTGAGTTGGTGTTTTTCCTTTTTTTTTTTTTTTTGAAGTTCAAAGAACATAACCAGTGATTTTTAACTTAGTAGAGTGGCTATAACGTATTGAGAAGTGTTTGGTTTAATCACATTACGGTGTTTAAGTTTTTGTAATAACTTACATTTTGGGATCAGCAGTTTTTCACATGTAAATTCCAGTGGGGCGAAAAGAAAGGTTTGGAAGTCACATGCTGAAAAACACAGCGATCATGAACAAAGAACATTTCTATTTCTGACCGAAGGGTGCTGATCCCAAGATGTAAATTGCTCTTCATGACCCTTCTTCAAGTGAAGAACCCTTTCGTAGAAGCGGCCAGAAGAGCTACACTGAACAGCTATGCTGTTTGGCAATCGTTACATTAATGTAACGTTCATGTGTAGAGATAAGAGGGGGGGGGGGGGGAAGAGAAAGGAAAAAGGGTTAGAAGGCTGATTTTATTCATTCATCATCTACAGGAGCCTTGTGGATGACGTAACAATCACGTCATCCACCTTCTGCCGAAAGAATGTCATAAAGATCACCGTTTATGTTGGTTCATGACAATAATTTCATTCACCCGACCCGCCTCGTGCCATCGGTTTTTTGTCTTAGACGTTTCGATTTCTGATTGGCTCATTTTGCTGACCTACGTGACTGACTTTTCGATAGAATATCGCCGTGCTCCCATTAAGCGTTACGTAGGAATGACGCTATTAACTATTCGTTTGGCCTAATTAAAGGAACTCCTTGTAATAAAGATGAATAATGTAATTATATAAATCATTATCACCTTTTAAGCGATAATATTGTGGTCGAAAGCTACCAATCCGGAGCTGTTGGAAGCGTTCATCTCATCCAATTACTATCTTCTTCCAAATAACGTTTTAGATCTTTTATTGCCGTGTAATAGGCGAGTATAGTGATTGGCGCCGGATAAAACCAAGTGCTTTCATGGGAGGATTTTGTCTACATCATGACCACTGAGATTGGTTGATAAACCAACAACTTGTTAACTGTCAAAGTTAACATATTTGACATCGTGTAATGAGCCGTCATGTTTTAAGCACTACCAGGTTTTGCGATGATTTCTATTTCATTTCTTTTCTTTTCTTGTATTCGAGCTTCTTTCTCCTTCTTCTTTTTATTCAATTAGTTTCATACCTTTTTTCTTCATTTTAATTGCATATGCGATGCTTTTTAATCATCACTTGTTCAAACTACAATACCTCTCTTATTTAACGTCTTGGAACAGACCTTAATAAACATAGAAAATAACATGGAAGCTTAATAATTCAAATGTCTTTAAATTTCCTAAGAAGTACATATCACGTTGACACAATTTGCATAACATACAACATTCAATACATATATGTACATGATACTTTAAGGTAACTTGGAAATTTTCGTGAAATATATACGCAATTCTATTAGATATCACATACGAGTGTTTTAACACTAGTATGCAATTTAATTATCTCCTCGATCGAGGTGTTTTGTGAAATCTAAAGAGGGAGAAATCGTCTGACACCTTCGATCATAACAAGTCTAATATATTCAAACCATGGAAACGCAGAGATCAAAGTTAAACCCAATGCAAATTGGCAGGGAATACCCGATCAAGGATTGTTATAAAGTTTGTTCTTAGTCGTTCAACGTAAGGGTTTACGAAAATAGTCCAATCAAAGACTTGTTCGCGTGAAAAGAATATATTTCACTCGAGATAAGATTCTGTGCGTCAAACAGAGAGAACTTGTTTGCGTGGAAAGATTCTGGCCACGGATTTCACGACAGCGATTTTAAAATAAGGTGGAATTCGTTGTACGAACCGAACAAACCCGACTGGATCGAACGCGAAAAATCCTAAAAAGAGGCAATTCTCAATAACAAAGGTAAGTGCTACCCGGTAACGGCTAACTTTTGTTGAAGAAAAAAAAACTACAGTTATAATTTCATTTGTTTGCATTCAAACAGGTCAAGTTGAACGAAAACAATGGCAGAACGTGGAATAAGCGATGTTATGGACGTACTTAAACGCATCGAAAATCATCAAAATGTCGTCGGTGTAGTAATTGTCGACAAGGATGGCCAAGCGATACACAGCACTCTGGACACGATAGAAACAACTTATTACATCCAACACTGCAGCGCTTTAATAGCCATCGCTAAAAGTACAATAAGAGAGACCGACCCTACTGACGATATTCAGTTTTTCCGGATACGAACGAAGAAGTTCGAAATAATGTTGGCGCCCGAACACGAGTACTTACTCATCGTAATACAGAACACTCCGAAATCCGCAGGAAAATTTCCTTAAGTTTAAAAGAAAACCCGGTGCTCAATGTAAAAGAAATGACAAAATTTCATTTTGTATCTCTTAGCAAACTGCTTTAATTATCAAACCCAAGATAAACGAGCGATAAGTTCTGATTTTAGATTTTAAAGTTTTGCATAGGTTTCTGTTCCATGAACAAACGAAATTTTGGTCTTTACACTCTACTGTTTCAAGGACATTTTGTCACGGATGTTTTTCACGATTGATGTGTACAACAGAGAAGAAGTTTGACTGCTTTTTCAATCTGTCGTTGCAGAAAAACAGCAGGTGTATATGGTATTCTTTCATCTTTTTTCATTAATATTAATTACTTTCTTTGTTTGTACCAGTAGTACTTCTACAAAGCAAAACATATGTAAAAAAGAAACCAAGAGGAGAAAATCTACGTTAATCATTTTGCTCGTGGAATTCAACAAAACCACACAACGTTTCTTACATTTATTAGAAAATCTATGAAACATTCTTATCAACTATGCACACTAATTAACCTTTTTTACTGTTTGTGGGAAAACTTGGTTTTTAAGATTTAAAATGAAGTTATTATAGAGGTTCATTTACTTGCAGTTCATCAAACCTCTGGCCATGACGAATGATCAATCGAAAGATTTTTCTGGATTCTCTTAATGGGAATCTAGATTAAAGTTCAAAATGAGAGATAGGAAAACAGCATTATGACATAAAAACATGGTATTGAAGGACTGATATTAAGGAGTACAGGCTTAAATGAAGAAGTCCCAACGAACTTTGTCTGATTTCTTGTCCTGATCTTCTGATGGGCGCTCCACAAGCCTGGACGATTCTTCACTGGTATCTAGACAAGTCGGAAAATACACTGTCATACTACAAACTTTTGAAATATATGCCCCTATGAGATCAGAGTCTTAACGTTCTATTTCTGGGCTCCACCACGAAGCCTTGTTCTCATGCAGTTCAGTTCTAGGCCAAAGTCTGTAAGCCGCACACGCGGTACTTGCCAACTTTTCTATGGAAAAAATACGCTTTACCTTGGAATTTCAAAGTCTTGTGAAACGTGTTTGATTACGAGATGCGGGGCAGTTGCACTTTAACATTCTACCCTCTTGCAAACGCTCTCTCATTATTGAGCTTCCATCAACATCAAGAAGATGAATATTAGATTAATCCCCTGAAATGTTCTGCGCAGGATGAATAGATCTCGTGGCGCAAACGCACCCGATGCTGGACTTCCAACTCTTCCCAAATCTTCCTGGCCAGAGATGCAGCTCAGTATTATTAAACTCACCATACTCTATCCCTACATGCGAGGAATTTCCGCGTGAGGATCCGTTAACAAGCTCCAGTCGGTACCTATACAAAAACCGATCCTTCGTCTGTGTTCTAACTCTTTCTTCTCTTCCAGGTCCGCCCACCGAACCTAGAAAAAAAAAATCGACATCCAGAGACCCTGTCAAACGGATCCAACATCATTCAAAACTGCTAAATCTGAATTGTTGGACAGAGCTCCACATTGTTGCGCGTGGGAATCAAACGAATGAAAAGCACTGGATGCAACATTAGGAAAGGTCTGGAGGTCTGGAAACAACACCTAAAAAATTTAAGGGGTTACAAACCCAACAGAGGTACAGAGATACTTAATGAGCACGCGCGCATATCATAAATGATGTTGAACACGAGCACTGATGACAAACATCCTTTGTCCAACATCATGCGATAAATGCGAGACTCCTTAAATACTTGATAACACGAAACATCACCCACCCTTTTCTTTCCAATGCGCATGTCTTCTTCACGTTCATCATACGGGTCATCGTCATCACTCAAATGCAATGGCGGCGACTCTTCTCGTTTCCTCTTGCTTTTCATGGGACGGATACCATCAAGTTTATCTGGAAAAGAAACAAATCAGAAAAGGAGTCAGAAACAAAAAGGGAAAGGCAAGAAAGAAAAAACTCTCGCGGCTTGGTTTGCGAACCGTTTACACGCTAGCATCAGTATCCACATTCTCCATAATTTCCTCAAGACACTTCAGTTGGATGGACAAGGAGAAATTGTTTCAAAATCAAAGCTAAACGAATGATTCAGCAGTATATCTGTGAAAATAAGATGCTGATACGACTCTTATGGCAGGTTATCTACATGAGGTCTAACACAAAACGTGGTTTTAAGCAAGCAGTGGCCCTCATGTATTCTCTAATACGGTTCTTTCCATTACAAAAATATTCCTCCACTACTAGCTTTCAGCCCTCTTAACACAATAATTGTTCAGAAAAAAGATTCAGCTTAACTCAGGACAGTTAAAACACGGTTTGCTAAACAACCGACCCTTAGGGTTTGACGAGGGTTAAGATATTTACAAGAAGATCACATCTGAATTCAGTTTAAATCTTACCAATTTCATTAGGAAACATATCCGTCAGAGTAAGAAAGTAAATGGTAAAAGGGCATTTCAAGTCAAAGCAACTCTTGTTATCAGATTAATGACAGTCTGGAAATGATCATGTCAACACGCTTTCGCAGGTCAAGGACGTAGCAAACTCGACCAACCATACGGAATTCATTTCATGTCTTGTAAATATTTTAAATTACAATCTCTTGGCTAAAAGAAAAACGTGCCTGAGTCTAAATTTGTAAGAGTGCTAAATTGAGTGCTAGTATATATTTCATGTTTCCAGTGGTTCAGCCGCTCAATCCTTATTTGGATTGCCTACCATAATGCTCCGTACCGTTTCCAATGACAGGAATATCTGCCATTGATAGAACTAACCGATTAAGAGTTCTTGCAAAGACAGAGCTGCTTGACAGTTCGGATCACTTGATTCAACCTTACCTTTCTATTCAATGAACGCATTTTAAAATTGGCCAGAAAAGCTCGCTAACAGCATTGGTAAAATGACCCGGCAGCGCGTTTATATCGCATAAGTTTTTGTACTTTTAAGCTCTCTTGCTCAATTCCACCATGCTCTCTGAGTGCAACATAATTTGTGAATTCGTATAACACTGAAGAGCTTTTAAGAGCCCATAATTAAGGTTTCGTGCCCTGAGACTCCTTTGAGTCTTGGAGGACTGTATAGTTTCCAAGAACTTTGCACAATCGTTCAACACGCGGTGGAGAATGACAGAGGTTTGTATTTCATGCCCTTCTCCCAGAAGCGAAAAATTGATTTCATCGAAGCGAGGTGAAGCTATACCCTCCTTTTCAAGCGAAAATGAACGATGTTATTTTCCATTTTTAAACAATTCAACGCATTCTCTGTTCGAAACAATCTATTTGCCAGTCATCATTACAGTGACTCGGTGCACAGCCGTGGCCAACAGCTTAATGTAATCTTGGACTTTGATCTTTTTATCAGAACGAAAGTTTTTTCACTAACTGTGAATAATATTTTCTGCAAAACAACGTTCTATAACGTTAGTAATTAGCAAGCAGCTTTTTCTGTACATTTACAAGACGGCTACTTACTCAGTTTGTCCTCAGCCGGCTCCATTTCTTCCCATTTGCTGCGCGAAGGCACCTGTATCTCAGACTGTGAAATAATCAACAGACCCTGTGAAAATGAACTACAAAACAACCGCAAACCGCACAAAAGATATTTAACGTTATAACTTGTGGTATTGTGTCAGTCATTTAAGTCTGTCTCCTTTTAGTTCACTCTCACCTATTTTTTACTGTCTCTTCATTACATCGATGACCAGATGAACACAATTTTCACACAATAAACCACCGAGACTAGACTTGGAATGCCCAAGTGTACTTTTCCGATTTCAAACTACATGAAGCTTAGTCAAAGGCAATCTGCCTTTTCAATAGCTCTAACAAGAAGAAGAATTCCCCTCGGTCGTTTCAAAAATTAACTAAACCTTCCCTGATATTCTGCGCATTCTATGTTGCCCATGCAAGCCTGTACACCAAACCTTTAATTTACGTTTGTAAAGGTAAAAGTGTTTGAAATGTAAACGTGCGTATATTCTGGGAAAACCGACAAACGAAACGTAGACTTGGAAAAACTTAGCTGCATTCGAGCTCAATTTTTTCCCCATAATATACCTGTGTTTCCTTTCCCTAGAAAGGAATAACGAGGAACAGACGTGGCAACTGTTTCGCTTTTGAATAGGAATTAAATCAAACCAAAGATACGGCAAAATTTTTTGGGGTTTTGGGGTTTTGTGTTAGACATTTCAAAGAGTTTTACATGATTAATGCCAACGCTGACTAACAACAGCAAAATAATATGCAAAATTTAAAAATTTCGTGTTAACAGACTTTTGTGCAAATATTACACTTCAGACCAGTTCTCAGAAGTGTGTAACAAACTACGGTGTCGTGCTCTCACCCATAACAGTTGCCCTCATCTATTTCGACCATATTTTGTTGTAATTTGGATCTAAAGTACATGTTCTTTGTTGATTAAAGTTAAAAATATTTCAGTTGGCAATTTTGCTACGCCAAGATTGAATATTTTGTTTTTTGGGTTTGTTTTTATTATGAGAGATATTGTTGATATTCTTTTGCCGTAAGGTTTTCATTACATGATAAATTAATTATCTAAATTGTATAAATTTCATTTTACATGGCAAAAACGGGCGTAACAACCTCTCAACAGGTCTCCTTCACTGCGGAGTAATTTTTTTTCATTTTAAGGCTGGTTTCGTTTGGTTTTAAGAATCAGACCATGCTGAGTACATCAGACATATCGTTTAATTTATGTTCTTTTTAATTCATACAAACGTCTTCTAATTACTTATTTTAAGGCGTGGAGATGAGTTTCCAGTAAGGCGGGAAGGGGGGGGGGGGAGGGTGATACACTTGTTTCTTTTGGCATCGGGGGATATGTGAAACTATATCACTACATGAGTCAACGTTTTCGTTGATAGAGAGGAGAGATTACTGACACTACGACACCCCCTTCCATCGGCAAAGGCCGCGTATTTTATTCATTCATGAGCAGGCTACTTACGATCATCCAACTGTGACTCTGTGTCCAATGATGTTTTAGTTTCTGTTGTAATAGAGACATTATTTTGTTAGTTCTTACCTCTTCTTCCTCCATTGGTTCCTGCTGTTTTTCCATTTCTTCTGAACTGGCCGCCACTGCTGATTCATCTGCTGCCTCCATCTCAACCTGTGAGCAAATGAAGTTTTAAAAACACAGCTGCTTTAACCCTAAAACCCCTAAGGATGACTAGCATCTAATTTCTCCTTACAATATCACCCCTGAACCACACATTAAGGCCACAAGAATAAAGGAAATGATCATAAACTAGAGAAGCTCTTAATTGTTCAACAAATTATCCTATTCGGTACCAGACCTTAGGAAATATATGTATATATAAATGTATAAATATATAAAATAGTATGGAAAAATTAGCTTACTAATATAATTGGTTAAGGATTCTGCATCATGAAAAATTAAGCCTTAATTTTTCTAGTTCGTCATTTATAATCCAGGTCAATCTCCTCCATTCTTGACCATCCTCGCTTCCTTTCGATTTGTTGTTTTTCTCTTTTCAAGTTCTGTCTTGCCACACTAATATTTTTTGGTAGTCTTGGCAAAAGTCGGGGAGAGGAGGTCAACAATGTGGTGAAGGCTTGCGCTCAAAATGTGTTTTAAAAGAATTCGACACTTTAAAGGCACGAGTTCAAGATCCTTTACAACTCTTAAAACTCTTCCCAGTCCACCATCGTTTATAAAAACAATAAATATCAGCAAACTACAGTGTTTCATGACGACGTAGGTAACAGATGCAATGTAGGGATACAGACCTCGGTAATGACAGCATCTTGCAACAGTGATCGTACATCAAGTCTCAGATGATGGACCGGTGTCTCTTCCCAGGCGGATACCATCTGACAATCAGCAAAAGGAAGGGTCAGTTACTTGACGAGCTTAAGCGAAATACTTGATTCCTAAAGAGATACACTGCAATAGCCGAGTCCCATAATTGCGTCATCATTCGATCACCCAGATTGTTTCAGGAACGTATTTTTAGGAATCACTTTGACAAATTACGGATGCAATCAGCCATTTTTCACGAGAAGCATAAACACAACTACGCATGACCACAATGCTATTCGCAACAAAACATCGTTGGATGGTATTACAGATGAGCGAGACACATTCTTATTTGTAGGCAAGTTATGAATGGGCCCTCCACTTTCGATTTTGTTTTCATGGCACTCATTGGGAATGCGTCCTCAATAGTACCTTATTGATGTCCTCAAACGTCCGATTATGACTGTTCCGCTTAGCGCACGCATGTGCATCAGCCATTAACTCAGCAACATAAACCTGTTCACAATAAACAGAAGAACCAAAGTGAAGACTGGTAACGAACGTATTTAAACGGACCACAAAATGAGATGATAAGGACTCAGTCTCAGTTGGACAGTTTGGTTTTGGTTATTAACCCTTTGACCCCAAAGAGAGACGAACATCTAATTTCTCCTTACAATATCACCCCTGAATCACACTCTAAGATCACGAGAATAAAGAAAATGATCACCAAGTAAAGAAGCTCGTGATTGTTAAACAAATTCTCCTTGTCAGCATCTTACGAAATGTATGAAGAACAGTATGGAGAATATGTAAACTGATGGTTAAACAAATTCTGCTTGTCAGCACCTTAAGAAGTGTACAAGGAACAGTATGGAGAATATGTAAACTGATGGTTAAACAAATTCTCTTTGTCAGTACCTTACAAAATGTATGAAGAACAGTATGGAGAATATGCATACTGATGTTAGGGTGTAAAGGTGCTAAGGATATTCGTTATGAAGTGTGTTTCTTAAGCATATTGGTAACAGGGATGTTGCATCGTGTTCTGTGATAATTTCACCGTGTCCTTCTCCATTGAGGGATAGGTTGTTCATAACAACTTAAGATAGGGCAAGGTTATTGTAAACGTTTCACTTAGTATTATGGCTATGCAGAAAGTTCTCCAATATGATTGACTTACCTCGAAACCTTTTTGTTTTGCGTGGCTCCAGTATTTCTCAAAATGTTCAACCTTTTTATTTGCAAAAGAATGATATTGTTACTACTAAATGACCGAAAAGTGGACATCGAGAAAATGATAATAATGATAATGTTGAAGAAAAGCGAGAGTGGCCCCTACCCCAACCACTTCAAACGGTTCCCGTTGTTTAACCGTGATCCCCAGAGAGTGAATAGCATGTGATTTGTCCCTGAGTCAAACATTAGGGACACGAGGATAATGGAAATGACAGCCAACTTAGTCTAGTAAGCCAACTCCTAGTCAGTACTATAGGAAATATATTGAGAACGGCTTTGAAAAAATGCATACTAATGAAAGAGTGTAAGTTTCCCGCGGCTCTCACTTCGCTCGCTCTCTGGACAAAGAATTGTAGTGAAAATGAAAGGTCTATGAACAGACTGGAGGCCACTAAGAATAAAATAGAATTTCCTCCTTTATCCCACCACCCCCCTCCCCCCTAGATATATGAACAGAAGACAAAGGAACAACTTCGGGAACAGACCAAACCCAGTTGGGGAGGCAGGAGATAACGCGTCTTATCCACTTTAAAAGCATAAATTAATTGTCCAACAGATCAGAATGAAGTGAATGAGTAAGTGAATTTCAGGTCCATACCTAGATGTTAAAGTACGACTAACGTCATACCATCAGGTAAAATCAGCAAGGGAATGATTTACATGTGCTTTGATTGGAAATAACTATACCCTGATGTAAGGGCCGGCTACGCTTGGCGAAAATAAATACAACACAACAACTTGTGTGCGTCCAGATGCCTTGTATTCTTACAAACAACGACCATAACGGTTTATATACGAGGATCTACCCCGCGATTCGAAGTTATTGCTTCTTACGGGATAGCTTTAAAATCCTTCGCTCAGAGCTTAACTTGGCAAAAACTACAAGCAACGCTCATGGCGTAGGAAACTGCGCCCTGGGTATATTGTCAGCGGCGCTATAAAATGTAAGTAAATGCAACAAATCATACACCTGACCTTGTCATGAATAGCGTCGACTATCACCACAGGAAAGAATCCATCTTCCAGCGTCTTAGTAAATGATTTAAACAGACTAGCCCTGTAAGCTTCCTCCATCTCTTCTTCAAACACATATTCTGTTACCTACAGAGGAAATAAGATTAAAAGATCCTCATGTAGATTCTTGTAAACTGTTGCTGTTTAAGCAGACAATGGGCCCACGTTTGAAAGGTTTGAACAGAAGCCAGGAAAACTGGGTCGAGTATGTCAAATCAAGGCTGAGTACATCAAATCGAGGCGATGTGATTGACTTCCCTGGTAAAAAAAATGCGACAAGACAAATCTCGTCCTTTACAGACATATTTAAAAAGTCCCAAGGACCAACTAACAAAACATTTCTGGCTAATTGCAAAGACGACTAATCGAAAAGACCAGACGGAAACGTAAATACGTAAAACCACGCGAGAAACGTATGCATTCCTCATTATATGCTAGGAATTTCACCAGTAAGTCTTAATGTCAAGTTTTCGACAAGGGTATTCTACTTTCTGTAACTTTTGCGCACAAGTATCAAATAAGGGCTGTTCATCATGGTATTTTAATAAATTCAGAGAAATTGCATATGCGTGCAAGTTATTGATATGCTTGTAAGTGTTAAACATATGGATTGGGAACATTTCACAGACATAAACTCTAGACAGACAGAGTATTTTAGGCATTCAGCTGTTCGAATCTTACAGAAGTTGGACACTGCAGATTGCTTTCGTCTCCAGGCTGTTTATAAAACATAATTGAATAAATCAAGGTGATTTCTCCACAACTACGAAAATGTTCACCAAAGTCAATATAACTGAACAAACCATTGAAATCGCATGTAGTAGTCAATTGTAAAGCATGATTGCCTGGGAAGGTCAGTCAAAACACGACAACCCTCAGTTTATACAATATTTAAACAACCTGAGAAGAATTCGTTCTCTTTTGTGAACTGATGAGGACTTCCTTTCAGGCAGTGGTCTGCTCAGTTATTTTCACCAATAAGAGTCCTATTCAGAACTGCTCTCAACCAGACGATTACCTCACATAATCGACCATTACTCTCAGGTTCGATCCATTAACTGCACTTCAAACAATTAGCAATTTTCAATTGAGTGTCGAAAGCAATTCGGAACTACATTGTTTTCACTTTAATTTGCTCCGTGATTGGTCCAGAAAACTCGCGCCACCCTCTCAACCAATCAGATGCAACACTTCCATCAGTCACGACCTGTTCGCCCGCATTTTCGCGCGCTGTAGGCGGATTGCTTGCTTTTAGTTTCCTTCAGATTGGCCGTTGTAATTACTTCGGTTTTTGTTTTACGACACTTCATCAAAGAGCGCTTTAAAGCAATGATTGTGATACTAAAATCTGATTATTCTCTGTGAAAAGCACACAAAACTAAAACTTGCCTTCTTCTTAACTTTCTTTCCGGTCTCCGGGTCTTCTTCTACTTTTTCCACTTCCATCAAAAAGTAATCATCCAAGGCCAGGATTCTTGGTGCGTGTGCTCCGTTGTTCACCTCCTTGTCCTGAAAGAGACAAAAAGGATAGTAATGGTACAATATTCAATCAATTCACATAAGGCTTACGACATTACTGATCCTAACAGTAAGCGGGTCTCGTGTCTTATACGAACCTAATAATGGCCTAGGTCACCACAGAGTCTCTGTGACTCGGTGGTAGAGCATCCGAACGCGGAATCCGAAGGTCTACGGTTCGAATCCTATAGGGAACTATTTTTGTTTGTTCCACCTGCGTACTAAGATGAAAAACAAACCCTTCTGCAAGAGCATGTTGTTTTAATTACTCAACAAAAGGAGCGAGTAAAAGAAACGATACTTGTTTGTGAGTGGCATACACTCGCACCGTTCATAGCAGAGATATGCTGACAAGATAACTTGATTTTATCAACTGACTCAAGTAATTAAATTGGCCACCGTAAACAGTTTCGAAAGCTGACGTTTTCAGCGTTAGCCCTTCGTTGGAGCGAACGGTGGCATACTTTAATCGAAATACTCACCTTGATAAGCCTGGCTACATGTGTCTTTCCACTCCCTGGGGGTCCCCTAAGAATAATAACAATCTGCAAGATAGAAATTTATTAGATCAACATCAAACCTCTCATTTTGCTTTTCGTGTTTATTATTGGTTTAACACATACGAGTCACATGGTTTTACTGGTCCACGACACTTCTGATTCCAACAAGATGTATATCAGCGAGAAGGCAAAATTTCTAGTCAGACCGTGAAAGCTAGCTTTCTTGCATACACACTAACGTGCTTATAGGCATCAACACCTGTTGGTCTACATGTTATGCGTATACCTTGGTTCACATATATCTGAGTGACACTGCATTTATTTTACTGAAAGACGTTTGAAGTAAATGTTATGATGGAGAAGGAAACTTTGAACTACTACATGATTGAGTTTCGTTGTTCAGCCTTACCCTGTCTGGTCTGGAGTCACGCCCTGGAGGGTCCAAGATGCTCTCAACTGGAACAGTCTCCGGTTTCTTCTCCATCCGTGGTGCCTCAGTCGGATGTCTACCGTCATTAGGGCGTGGTGGGTAGGCAGCAGGGTCATGTAGGGAATGGTCCTCTGAGTATCGAGGTCGGTCTCTGTAGTGATCATCCATTGGAGGCAATCTGTGTGGAGGAGGTCGCTCATCATAAAACCTGTTGGAATCAGACGTTAAGTCAATGGTTAATGCTTTAACTGCTAGACATGACCAAAAAGTTATTTTTGCTTACATTATCAACACATTGCCTGGCAGGCGGGTCATAAGAAGAAAGAATATTATCAACTCAAGGTTACTGTTTGATTGAATAACAACAAAAATAAAAAACTGACAACAAAAGCAAAATGCAGTGTGGGCCACCGGCCTAAGTTACGAGCAGACGTCACTATTACCAATCGTACGCTTTAAGCAATCAATGAAATCCTATTTGAAATCATAACGTGTGTCAAGAAAAAGTCACCTATCATCTGGTCCTCGTCTGCCATCTCTTTCCCACTCTCTGGGGCGATCAGGAGGAAAGCGATCTGGAAGTTCTCTGTGAGGTGAAGGTGACCTTCTCCACCTATCAACTGGGTGGGGTAAGTCTCTAAACCTCTCTTCTTCAGGAGGTCTTCTCCCTGAAAACCAAAAAAATTGAATCTGAGAAACAATAAAATGTATTTAGATTGTTTGCCCAGAGAAACTGTGACCCACATTGTAAATGATCAGAATCTAGTAAAAAAAAATGTTTAGTTGTTGTAAACATACAGGTGACAGTAATTCAGAATTTAATTGATATTTCTTCTGTGATCAATAACCAAACTAAAAACAATCTTAACATGGTGATAAATCAGGCCAGGTCATCTACAAGTATTTTATTGACCTCTCATTGGTTCCTTGTCTATTTATCTTATCTATTTCCCTTTGCCCTGATTGGTTGTTGTGATAACTTTGCCTTTAGTCCTATGAAACTCAAATGAAACTCAGAATTTGAGAGGTATACAAAATTGAAAACCCAAGTAAGTTCACTCTTGAGGTAGCATGTCTCCTGATGGCTGGAAATGCACCTGTCAACTCTATTTCGTACTGCCAACACTCTCATACACCCTTATCCCATTTTATTATGGTTGCCTCGGCTACACAAATGATTGAAAACTCAGTGTCAAAACTGTCTTCAGCCTTTGCCTTTGTAAGCCTCTGATAAACTCACAGGGAGTTAAAAGCCAAATCAGGGTGTATTTGAAACCTTAGTACTTTTCAAGGGAACCAGCATGTCATGGAGGACACAGGAAAAATTAGCCATAAATATCTAACAAATCAAAGATTTTTCCATCCTCAAAACACCACTCTGGACAAAAACATTATGACAACATGATCTGAAATAATGCTCATACAATGAAACTTATCAGCCAATTAAACAAACAAGATTCTGGAGTCATATAATGTAGGTACAGCAAAGGTATGTTCTTATTGAGAACTACTTTTATTTTCCAAAGAGGGAATTGAAAAGTGTAACCAAATAATTTACAGAAAAATACAACTTAATGATGCAGGTACACATGAGTCTTCCATATACATGGACAAACTGACATCAGCTAGAGAAGTGGGGTAGCAGAAACATAAATAGTATGTTGATTTAAGAGTAGGTGAGGTAACATGTTTATTACAATTACTCATGAAACAGACTCATCAACAATAATATCACTCAAAAGAGTAACAAGTACTTACAGTCTCTTCTCTCCCTATCCCATGGTGGTGGTACAGGGTGATCAAAACGATCAAACTCCTCAGGAGGTGGAGGCCTGCCTCTAAACTCGTCACCATGTGGAGATTGTCTCCTTCTGAAGTGATCAACTAGTGGCCAAGGAGGTGGAGACATGCGTCTTCTTCTCTCATCTTCATCAAATGGGTGTCTCCCTCTATGCCCATCTCTACCCCTAGGAGACATGGGTCTCTCTGGTGGACCATGTTCTCTTGAGGACCATCCAAAGTCATCCCTTTCTCCTGGAGGAAAGGGAGGCCATCTCTCTCTTTCATCCCTCAGAGGTGGTGGCCAACGATCTCGGCCACCTCTTGGTGGAAATGGAAAATCTCTTTCATCTCTAGGAAAAGGACGTCTATCTCTTTCCTCTCTAGCATGAGGTGGCCATTCCCTATCATCCCTAGGGAAAGGAGGATGATCCCACTCATCTCTAGGGAAAGGAGGTCGATCCCTGTCATCTCTAGGAAAAGGGGGCCTGTCCCACTCATCTATAGGGAAAGGAGGACGGTCCCAATGGTCTCGTGGGAAAGGCGGCCTTTCCCAATCACGTCCAGGGGAGGGAGGGCGGGGTCGTTCATCTCTTAGATAAGGTGGTTTGTCTCTCCCTTCCATTTCTGGTGGTACTTTATCAGTGGGCTCTCTGGGTAGCTGATGTCCCACCTTGTCTTGTTCATCTTGTTTTGAGAAGGCATCAATGGCACCAATGTCACGTGGTCTATGATCAGGCTCAGTTCCTAACACAGGGGGTCCTCCTTCCTTCACATCCCTAAAGGGTGGCCTCTGATCTTCCACACCACTTACTAAAGGTGGTTGCTCTTCCCAGTTGCGTCTTTCTGATGGAGACCTTCTGCCGTACCATTCTTGAGGATGTTCTTGAAGATCCACTGGAAAGGGAGGTCTATCTCTTGGGAAGGGGATTTTTCTATCCCAGTCATCCCTTGGAAAAGGAGATCTTCCACCTGGCTGATCTGGCCAAGGTCCTGTATCACAATTGCCTGGTGGGAAAGGAGGTGGCCTATCTCTATCATGCCTAAAAGGTCCAAAGTCCCTTTCACTTCTTGGTGAAGGTGGTCTTGGTCCGCTGTCATACCTATTCACTGGTGGTCTCCAGTCTCTTCTGTCCAAGTCTTTATCATGATACTCCCCCTCTGTTGGAGGTGGTGGCCTCCCATCTCTGTTTGTGGGAGGATGCTCTCTATCCCACCCCAAAAACCCATCACCCAGAGGTGGTGGGGGCCTATCTGAATCTTGATGGGGTTTCTCTTTATCCCAAGGAAGGGCATCCCTTGGGTGTCTCTCCCCAAAGTGTTGTGGTCTATCCCAATCATCTCTTTGACCCCAGCCGTGCTCATGATATTCAGACTGCTGAAAATGTTCTGTTTCATTGTGTTTTGATTCAGTAGGAACAGACTGTTCTCCTTCCACTGAAACCTGTGGCTGTTCTTCTCCTCGGTGTCGATCACTTTCAACATTCATGTAATCACCTTGTGATTGCTATAAAGAAACAGAATTGTATAAACTACAGCTGCCTACCATAAAAACTAGATAGCTGAAATAACATCCACTTGTGCACACTAAATAATAAAAAAAATTCCAAAAATAATAAAAAAAAATTCCTAAAAATGATTTCACCTAGTGCCCTAAATGATGAAAAATATATCAAACTTCTTTAAGATTGGTTGTCAACCAATAGACATTTTGTGTGCTCAATAACATTTACAGCACTATGGCTGAGATGCCTGAAAGGCATAGCCCTGAACCCACATCAGTTTTGTGGTTGAGGAATATGAGTGAAGACTGCCCTAAGTAATTTGCCTTCACATTCTGTGTCAATGCAGAAACTTATGTGGTGGTTTTGTAAAGTAATTCATGATTATTTGTGCTAAAACAAAAGAGGCTACATATACATGTTCACTCACATGATACTTGCTGCTTTGATAATTATCTATGCCTTTACTATCTCCATCTCCTACAAAAAAGGCCAAAAGTTAGAACCATCTCACTCACAGATAAGGTAAAAGTAAAGTCAGTACTCGGGTCTATTGGCCCACCCACCCAGCCGGAGCTTCACCCAGCTGCCATGTGGCATGAAGCAACAAGGAGTACTACTACTCCCCACGCCCTGGATGGAATACTAGTCCATCGAAAAGTTACCCCCAGCATTTCATCAAGCTTCCTTCCCCAGGACCCATTTATACTCCTGGGTAGAGAGAGGCATGGTGAGAGTAAAGTGTCTCACCCAAAATACAACAAAGCGACCCGGCCTGGTCTTGAACCCAGACCTCTTGACCCAGGACCAGTGCACTGACCATTAAGCCACTGCATCTCCCACCCTCATTTACAGGAGACTAATATTTTTCTTAACCCTTTGACTCCCATGAGTGACCAAGATAAAATTTCTCCTCACAATGTCCTTACAATATCAAGCACACAACTGATGAGAATTAAGAAAAATATCACTCTAAGGGGATAACTTATTGCTCCAATACCTAATTCTCCAAATTACTATCATAAAAACTGTATGGCAGACAGTAAGGAGAATAAATAATGGGATTTGGGAGTGAAAGGGTTAATTCCATGCTCATAAAGAACACTTGACATGTTTGTTGGACTTCATAACCTACACAGAGGATATGGCATAGTTTGCCAACAAGTGCTCTGAAGCTCAAATGCTACTATGATTATCAAACAAGTGAGGCTCGGAAAAAGTTTGGCGAAGGGGTTTTGACCATAAAATAACATTGTTGTCATGGCAACCTTCCTCTTTTCCAATGTGAACTGTAACTCAAGAGCTGCACATCCCCAACTGTCAAATATGAAAGACTGTCAAAATAGGTCAAATGACACATTACCAAATTAGCCAACTGCCTATGACAACAACATGTATTTAACCTTAAAACATGGTTGCTGATCTTCTGATGCACCTCACCTAACTGAAAATTGTACTATGGCATTTAATTGCATAATCTGAACAGACTAAGGTTTCAGTCCTCTTTGTCCCAAATTTGTGAAAATCTTTTGCATTTTTCTTTATTAATCCAAGGCTGATCAATTCTTCTCTGAAAGTATGAAAACTGATGTCAACCCACTGACCTTCTTCAGTTTTATCTGAAGTTTGCACTGGCACTATCGAAAATTCACCATCTCCAATACCAGGAATTTGATCTCCTTGACCTGTTAATGATACAATACCCTTGCTTTGTGACTCATCTGGAAAATTACCTGCATGAAAAGGTCAATGAGTATTTAATGAGTGTACAAAACAAAACAAAACAATCCTGTAATCTGACCCCTTACTGTTTCTGTGGCTGTTCACTCCTGCTAAAGCCCCAATCAAAAACATTGTTTTTTTGGTTTATTTTTCATCATGGCTTTACAAGTTTAACAGTGAGGTATCAGTGGACATTAGAGTATACCTTGGTACTGTGATTCCTCTGCATGTTGTTCATTTGAAGAATCTTCACTGTGATCAAATATGCAGCTATCTTCCTCACATCTAAATGAAACAGGCACATTTACAAACATGTATCAATCATACGAAATGTTTTTTATTTCTCTTCACACACACCTCGAGTAGTTTTAAATGCTACTTAATTCTTTTTTTGCTTTTTTCTTCTCATTTTTGCTCTTTTCTACGACAAAAAAGACCTCTCTTGACTGGCCTTTATTTTAAGCCCTGAAAACTAAGGTCATATTTTAGGCTCTTGCTGTAGTCTATTACAAACAATGAGATGTAATGGCCAGCATACCTCACACCATATTTGCAAGGAGGATGTTGAAATTTGCAACTATTCCCAAAACGGCAATGAGGGAAGAACCTGCAGGGTTGCTTTTTTCCCGTAGGCTTTAAATTTCTTACAGTGCTACCTGAAACAAAAAAATTTTGATGAAGGACAAATTAGTATATCACTGTTGACAATGAAATATCAAATCAAGTTTAAGTCAAAATTCAATTTAATTCTGGCTAGAAAGTGCAGCTTCTCCAAAGATAGTTTAATGTTGAGCCTATGATGGGGGCAGTTTTTCTTATTTTCTTATTCTTCCCTTATGAGCTGCTAATGCACATGTTTATGTTGGTTTTTGCAATGGTAGTGTACAAGCTGATGATCATCATCCAGTTTCCACTGGACTACATGTAGATTCAATGTGACAGTTTCTAGAGGTATATGCAGCTGTAGTAGTTCCTCCTTGTGGTACTGGGTGTTAAACCCCTCCTTACTGAGATATAAGGGGGGTGCCTTTTACCCCTCCCAACTACATGTTACTTTTGATCACCACTACCAAAGCTCATCAGTGTTTGAATTATGGAAGAGAAATTGAAACTGCCTCACCTTTAGTATGATCTTTAGCACTTGATTTATCATTTTCCTGGCCTGCAAGACTGTACTGTAACCATGGAACATTTGTTGTTTTTTCAGCTTGGCTACTGGTTACAACAGAACTTGATGATGTTATGGTGGTTGATTCTGACTTTCCCATAGCACTGGGTGCATTTGATGTCTGCTTCAGTTGTTTCTCCAGTTTCTCAAGTTGCTGAAGCTGTTCTTGCTGTTTGCGTAAAAACTCCAGCTCCTTTAGAGGATCTAGGTTACCAGGACTTAAACCAAGTGTCCCAGAAGGTGTATTTCTGTTTGGGCAAAGAAATTCCCCTAATCAGTTAGGTTTGAGGCCTGTACTATAAATTTAGACTAATTATTTTTTCACTTTGATTTAAAACCCTGGTGTCAAGGCCATAAATCTGAGCAGTGGCACTAGGATCATATTGCAACAACTTCTATGAGGGTGGAAAAAAGAGATCTTCAGTCATGCACATGTATGATTAATTGAGAAGATCTTGATGAAAGTTACCCCACAATTTTAAAGGCCACTCTAAGAGAGTTACAAAATTCTTGAATTTCTTTAAGTAACTTTTGGTTTTGTGGGAAAAATGATTCAGAACACCATTTCACAAGTTTGCACTTCATTTTCAAAAAAGGTAACATAAAAACATCCACTTTCCCAGATTTTTCTTTGCAAAACATTTAAAAAAAATTGTCTTGAAGGCATAAAAAAACACCATTATCAGGCTTGGACAGATCCTTGTATAAAAAAACCCTGGCAAAATTTTACAAAAAGTCTTGCCTTATACAGTTTCTTCTCACAAAAAACAAACAATCTCCAAACTACAAGTTTTGACCCCTTGAATACCATTGGGTAAATCTCCTTGAAACAGTAGATCTGCTTAAAAAATGCAGAATGTAGAGCACAACATTACCTCTCTGTTTTATCCCACTTAGATGCTGTTTTTGTAAAAGTTCCACCTACAATTCAACAACAGATTCAATTCAAGATTCATATATTATTGCCGTTTACAGACTGTAAACTATGGAAATATGAGATTTTGGTCTGGGCCATTCTTAGGAGTTCATGAATACTTAGTATGGTAAACTAGTAGAAAAACAGAATAATATTATGATCTTCAAATGCCATTTGAACAAAATTACACGAATGTAAACTACTACAAGCATACATGCTGTGAACAAGGAATCCCTTGCACAAATTTTACATTCTACTGCTTTACCATTCTATGCTGCCAATTCATTTACAAGGAGCTAAAATTGAGGAATCATGGAAAATGCAGTGATAGAGGGGTCTGGGTACAAGATCTGGCCGGGTTATTGTGCTATATCCTTGGGCAAAACAATTTACTCTTAAAGTGCCTATCTCCACCGAAGAGTATAAATGGGTAATAATATACATGAAAAGAAATTACACACTTCTGATTGGCTGAAGGTAATTTAGTATTATCAACTGAGTTGATAACATAAATTGGCCACCGTAAAGAGTTTAAAAGCTGATGTTTTGAGCATTGCTCTTCATCAGAGGTTTGCTCTATCGGAGGACTCGAAATGTATATCTCAGCTTTTAAACTCTTTATGGTGGCAATTTATGTTATCAACTCAGTTGATAATACTAAATTACCCTCTTATACTCTCCCACAGATGCACCACCACAGTTTCTTTAGAAATTTGCCCCCTTTTCCAGAGTAATAAGTGCTACAAATTGCACTTGCCAACAGGCTCTTGCAATGTTTTTGTCTTTAAAAAATTTACTTGTGCTCATTAACACCAAATTGCACTCCAATTCATGTCGCCAGGGAAGCCTGATGAAATACTTGGTGTGTGTGTGGGGAAGGGGGGAGGGAGGGCAGGCAGGTAGGGAATAACCTTGTGATGGACTAACACTCCACCAGGGGGGAGTGGTTATACTCCTAGTTGCTTCATGCTGTAGAAACTGGAATAAGCTCTGGCTGGGGGAACCACTTGGCCTGAGTGCAGACTTCACCCTTTACTTTTAAAATTGCAAAATATTTGTCATCAGAAGATAATGTAGGACATTTTGTGAAATATTATACAACAGATTATACCACTGAACAGACCCATTGTCTTTGTTCAGGTAAAAAAAACAACTGTCCACCTGTCGTGATCAAATTTTGCAGGGGCATACTAAACATCTCAAAGCTTACTTCCCAAAAGTTACTTTCCCTTTCAGTTGCCTTAACCCTTTCACTCCCTAGATATCGTTTATTTAGAAATTGGCCTTACTGTCTACCATATCATTTTTATGATGCTACTGCCGAGAATTTGGTTTTGGATCAACTACTAAATACCCTCATTGATAAATTTCTTCATTTTCATCACTTGTCTGATTGATATTGCATTAACATTGTAAGGAGAAATTCTGTCTTGGTCATTCATAGGAGTCAAAGGGTTAAGGCATGGAAATTTTTTTGTTTTTTTTACCTGGGGTAATTTGGCCCACAGTATTTCCTGGAGCAGCAGGCAACTTAGCCTGAAGCCATTTTGGTATCTGAGGTTTTGTCTGGTGAGCTTCTCCTTGGGTACCAACAGGGAAAGGTTTGCTATTACCAAGCCAGTTTGGCACTGGCTTCCCTTGAGAGACAGTTTCAGCTTGATCACTTTTCAAAGACCCTTCCTGTAACCATTTTGGAATCTGTTTCTTTTGAGCCTCCTTGGTTTGGAGAGCTTTCTTTGCTGCTTCTTGTTTCACATCCCATTCAGTTTTTTCAAGTTTTTCTTTCAACCATCTGGGCATACCATCATCACCTTGATGTTGTTGCTGATTTGTAGAACTCTGCTGAGATTGTAGCCATTTTGGAACATGTTTACTTTCAGCTGCAGCAGATTTCTGTGACAATCTTGAACTTTGCTCTGATTCACTTGTTCCAGCTGAGGCTTTAGAAAACTGCATCCACTTTGGGAGATGACTGTTCTCTGATGTTAATTCATTTTTATGTTGAATTTTACTGTCATTTTGAGGCCTAATTGGCTGAATGTCCATTAAACCAGGGATTTTTGGCACTGATGAACCTTGATTATAAATCTGAGAACTCTGCCTGTTTCTATTGTTCTGATTTTGTGTCCAGTTCGATGTTTTAGTTTGATCATATTGCGACTGCCATCTTTGTTGTTGCTGTTGTGATTGTTGCTGGTTAAGAAAATTTGGATTTTGTTGCTGGTTATACTGGTTTGGGGTATTTTGTGAAGTATTACCTTGTGGCCATTGAACTTGCACAGGCTGATGCTGATTGTGAACAAATTGTTGTTGCTGATTGAAGGGAGTTTGCTGAGTATACAACTGTTGTTGTTGTTGTTGTTGTTGTTGTTGTTGTTGTTGTTGATGCTGTGGCTGTTGTTGATGCTGTGGCTGTTGTTGATGCTGTGGTTGTTGTTGATGCTGTGGCTGTTTTTGATGCTGTGGTTGTTGTTGATGCTGTGGCTGCTGTTGATGCTGTGGTTGTTGTTGATGTTGTGGTTGTTGTTGATATTGTTGATATTGCTGCTGCTGCTGTACAACTGTGCCCACTTGAGCTGGAGTAGACACACTTCCTACGGCAGCCTGATTTTGAATTGGCTGAGGCTGCTTGTCTCCTCCTTTTATCTGCATTAAGGTTTGATTATGCTGCGTCCACTGATTCATCTGCTGTTGCCACTCTTGGTACTGCTTCTGATCAGGGTGGTTCTGATGCTGAGCCTGCCACTGGGCATACTGCCGCTGCCATTCCGCGTACTTCTCCTGATACTTCTTCTGGGCTTCGGTGATCTGCTGTTCAACTTTTGATAGAGAATTAGGTGCTGGCTCAGGTGGTAAAGGAGGAGGAGCAGCGGAAGAGGAATCAATTTGCTCCGGCGGTAATGGCGGTGGTCTCTTCTCGCTCGCGATCGGCGCGTTTTTTTGTGCTGTCGCCTGATCGTGGCCTTGACTGACTTGAACGGTTGCGGTGAAAACATTTTGACCCGGAGCATTAGCTGCCACAAACTGCTGTGCGCCAGCGACTTGAGTATATCCCTGTACAGGATACTGACCTACTGAAGCAGCTGTCTGAGGAGTCTGATTAGGGACAGCTCCGTATTGTGCATACTGTTGTGGCGCTTGAAAAACTTGCGCTTGAGCAGAAGGTTGTTGAACGTAGTAATACGGTTGTTGTTGAGTGTACTGTACTTGGTACTGGTACTGCTGAGGTTGCTGTAATGGTGCTGGTGGATACACGTAGGGATTCATTTTTGAATCGCTTTTCCAGAAAAAAACCCGGAAAGATTTTTAACTTAAGTCATTTTCATTTCCGTCTCATCAATATGGCTGCCATGCGGCAACTTTTCTTCATTCGAATAGGCAACCTGGCCTTCTTGCTCGCATCCAGGCGTATTACAGATTCAAGATGGCGGATATTCGAGAGAGACTCGAAAGACGAAACGAAGAGCGATTGGCAGCGATTGAGAAGCGTAAAGCTGATAAAGAAAGCAAAGAACAACCATCAGAAAATGTAGAGTACATCACTTCTACTTTCTCTAAAGAAAAGAGTGATATTGAGGAGCAGCTAGGCAAAAGGGCTACTTCAATCGAAGCTGGGAATAAACTAAAGGCGGGTGAATTCTTTGATATGCTGTCAGACAAGTGCCAGAAACTTCAAAAATTCGTGGCGGACTCTGCAATGTTTTTGCCTTCTCGTGATATACAAGTTTTACAGGAAACCGTAAAGGCTTTACAGCAGGATATTACTGAGAAGAGGGAGGAATATCTGCCCAAGAAAAAGTTTACTTTCAAGGCGAGAAAAAAGGAAACATTTAATAAGGTTAGTAAGAGGGTGAGTTGGGTGGGGGTCGAAGTGCCTTAATATCATGATAAATCATTATAAAGTTACATAGGTAAGCTCTCAAGGTTCCTTTTACTTAACCTTTTGACCTTAAAGTGTGACCAGTGTCTAATTTCTCCTGACAATATCACCTCTGGAATCACACATAAAGGTCATGAGAATAAAGGAAATGATCACCAACTAAAGAAGCTCTTGGTTGTTGAATCTTTAATCTTTAATACAAATTCCATGTCAATAAGACTGAACAAGTCAATTCAATCAATTTGAGGACAGCCTAAAACAGAATACAAGATTCCTTAAAATAAGCCACCTTATTTATTTACCTAGTTTAAAAATTTAATGTCAAAGACTAATTACAAAAGAAAAAAATTCCAAACTTACGATATGATAGAAATAAGATAATTCTGATAAAAAATTGGCACTGAACTTATCATAAATTAAAATAATTAAACAATTTCTTACAAAAGACATGCAAGGTGTTAGACTCCCTAATGTTGAGAGGTAGTTAATTCCATGCGCGACAAACCTGTGTAAAAAATTAATTCTTAAAATTTTCTGTTCGACTGACATGAAGTGTCAAATAATCAACATTTCTCAAAAGCTTGTTACCAGAACGAAACAATACAAAGTAAAAAATATCGAAATCATGTATATTCTGAAAACATTTAAAAAAGAATACTAAATCATTAATTTCCCTTTGATTATGTAAAGGTAATAAATTTAATTTAATAAAGCACTATTCTTAGCCCCTTAAGAAATGCATAGAGAACAGTAGGCAAAATATGCATCTTGACATTATAAGGTCTGTGTGATAGTGTCTAGGAGACAAGGTGGCCTGACAGTTATATTTAGCTGTGTTCTGAGGCAAGACAATTTACTCTCGCAGGGCTTCTCATAACCCAGGAGTTTAAATTTACTGGTAAACTGTTAGTGAAACCTGTTTAAATGTTGGTTGGGGAAGGGGATGGGTTGAACTACCATCCCATTCAGGAAGGGGGGGGGGCTAATGATACTTATAAAAGCTTCATGCATCAGCAACAGGGAGGGGGGGGAGGGCTTGTAATACTCCTGGTTGCTTCATGCAACAATAACCAGGATAAGCTCCGGCCAAATGAGCCACTCAGTTCTATTGCTGACTTAAACCTTTACTCTGGAATAAGGTCATTCCTTGGTACTGCTAAGTGCTTCTTTGACCCTTCACATCCTTACATCAATATGTATATTCTCCATATTGCTCTTATACTTTTTCTATTGTATTGACAAGGAGAGTTTGTTTGAAAATCATGAGCTTCTTTAGTTTGCAATCATTTCCCATATTCTCATGACTTTAACATTTGATGCAACAGTGATGCTGTAATGAGAAATTAGATCCCAATCACTTATAGGGGTTAGAGGGTTAATGCGCATAATTTTATCCTTATTTTGCATGGTTATGTGAAAAGAGGAAGTTTTCCTTTTTTTGCTTCACCTCACTAGGGAGGTAATTTGTATTCTTCTTCTAAATGAGTCAGGTAACTTATTCTCCCACTTTTTGATCTGTTTGTCAGGACGGACCTCTCAGTCAAGAGACAAAGAACAAAGAGCTTCCTTTACCAGCAACAGAAAAGAAGCTTTTAGATTCCTGTCTAGGTTTTCAAGGAGTTGCAGATCAAACACTAACCATGAATCAGTCACAGGTCAAAAATCAAGACATCACTCTTAGAGATCTTCAAAACTGCACTGTAATTATTTATGGTCCACCATCTGCATTGCATATGAACAAACTGACAAGGAGTACAGTCTTATGTGGACCTGTGTCAGGAGCAGTATTCATTGAAGACTGTGCAAAATGCAATTTTGTCTTTCCTTGTCATCAGCTGCGAGTTCATAGCACAACTGACAGCAAGTTTTATCTTCATGTCACTAGTAGAGCTATTGTTGAGGACTGTTCCAATGTAGGTTTTGCTCCTTTTAACTGGGATTATGAAAATATGCAGAGTGATTTTAAGTTGGCAGGGCTTGATCCTTTAGAAAATAACTGGTCTCTTGTCAATGATTTTAACTGGTTGAAAACTGATGAGCCTTCTCCCAATTGGTTCATAATAAGGGAGGATCAGCGCGTAAACAAGTGGATCATGTAAACATGTTTGAGAAGCTTTTCATAACATGTGTACCAAATGAAAGTCACATAATCATTGAAAGAAGTGATCTTAAATTATTAGACCAGTTTCTCAAGTTTTACGTTCAGCTAACAATTATTATTATTGTGCAATCTAATGTTTGTAGTTTTTGTCACATGAACAGAGTTTTCTTTGGGTTGAAATGTCTGGTAATAAAACTTTTGATAATCAAGGTGTCGCCATGCAGTGTTTATTAGTTGGCTCTGACATGAAGTGTTTGTTGTCTCCTCACCCCATCCCCCAGAGGCATTCAGAGTAGGGTACACTTTTAAGTTAGGACAAGGAGACAATTGATCATTCTTCCTACATCTCAGTCTTTAATACAGGCTTTGAGGAGAGACTTTTTTTTCCTCCTTCTCTGGGTGTAACTTGCCTTTCATACTCTGTCGTCTGTCCTCTTTGCACTTAACTCCATTTGCATGAAACACAAACTTAAGTGACACATGTTCAACAGGCTACTGAAGAGCGCATTTTTTGCACGCTACATCTCCATTTTAGCAGATCATGCGACCCACCACGGTCACATAGCGCAAAAGGCGTATGTACCCAGCTTGTTTCCTCATTCCCAGTTCCTTTTCCCCGTGAAGTGTGCATCTAGGCACGGTTACTAAGCATCTCGAGCAACAACATGGGAAAGATTAAGAGAAACCGTCAGAAACTCCATCTACAAGCAGTGAAACCTAGTAATTCAAAGGACAAAGATGATGCATTGAAGGCGAATGAGGTAGACAAAGTATTTTTATTAACCTTAATGATGATTGAATGCAAGCTTTGAACATAAAAAAAATGCCTGAGATTAATCTTGCATGTACTTGCTAATTGTGGCCTTCCATGCCATTATTTATTTTGTTATGTTCATTAGTCTTCTCTTCCAGCCATATTCCCCACTATGGGACTGTTTGATGCAAATGGTCAAGCCCGACCTGATGAATCTAAAGATAATCAAGACACACACAGTCAACTTGCCGACCAGAAAACTTCATCGAACAAAAAGAACAGAAGAAAAGAACGACATGAGCGTTTTCTGAGAAGTAAGTTTGATGGAGTGTTTGACCAACATTGATGTAAAAAGTATATGTGATCTTCACTGAAGATTTTTCTCTACGGGCACGATTGATATTCATGTCAAACCGAACACTTAATCTCCTAATTAAAACTCAGAACTGGCAAAGCCACGTTGATAATATATTGAAATTGTCAAGTTCATCTAGTACATACTTGTATGACCGTGATCCACCTTCAGTGGTCTTGTCAAGATGTTAGCAAACCTCCTCCTAAGATCCCTTGAACTTCCTATCAAGATTCTACTAAGATCTTGAACAGGTTGATTTTTGCTTGATGTTCGAAAGATCTTGGCAAGACACAAGGAAGATGTACAGCTGATCTTACTGGATCTTGTCTAAGATCTTGCTAAGATTATATTAAAGGTGGTACCTTGAAACGCTATTGTTAGGTTTTGCTTTAGGTGTTTTTACAGGATTGTTTAACTTCTCAAAAGGATTTTTTCACTACATTGTCTAAGTGAGGAATCAACTTAGGATGTCACAATATAAATATAACAGCAAATTCACTTAGCATCAGCATAGGGGAGAATTAAGAGTCAAATACTTGGGGTTACTTTTTTTACTGCATAAAAATGAGTGTTCTGAAGAGAAGTGAATATGATATGATATTTTATTTCAATGCAGAACTACATGCTGGCAGACTTGTTGAAGAAAGCAGTAAAAAAGCAAAGGAGAGGGCAAAGACAGTTGTTGTAGGTGACATGGAACCACTTTTATCAGCTCTACCAACCATAAATATACCAGATCTTACAACAAGCACAAAATCCTCTAATATTGGGTGAGTTGATAAAAAGGGTACACATGATTGTGTCAACTACAATGTGGATTCAATATCATAAAGAGAGTCAGTAACAAGTTGTCTTTTGTCTCATGATGTGGTTACTTAGAATGTGGAGTAACTGTGACATTTCTACCAAATAGTTCTAGACTTCTTCAAATGCCGAGGTAGACTACAAGCATTCCCTTCTTTTCAGAAAAGTTTGTTGTGCATGCAGAAAAAAATTCATGGGAAAAATTGCTGTTTGCATGCCAAGCAGAACTCTAGGAGTGAGACCTACTTTTGTGTGCCTCATATATAGATTTCCTTGTGGCATGCTTATGTCAAAAATATTTTTACTCATTTTTTTTAACTTGCACGATGGACATTGTCAAAAAAGCAGGGAGTTCTCCCAGCCTTGTGCTGAGGTTGATCTCCCAGCCTAAGTCCAGCAGTATGCCCTTGAATTAGATTAATGAAGCTTTTAAGAATGAGTGATTGAATTAGCGATGTGCACACGCTGTAGCTGCTTGAAAGAAATTGATTTAGGTCAGCATTTTAGGTTGTAAAACACTTTTGTGAATGCTTTAGCAAATTTTGGATATTATGCACAGTGATTTGGACATGTTCCTTATTTTTGGCTCATATTTGTAATATATATTTTCAAATATCCTGACTCTCAATCATCTATTCAGCCTAGTCCAAATAATTGAGGTTTGATTGTATTAATGATTGTAGCTTATCATGATGAATAACTATTCACAGCTTTTTTTTTCAAATGTGTTTGGTATTATTTTAATTTCCTGCAGCAATGGAAAAGAGAAGCTTGCCAAAAATAGGAAAAAGATGAGTAAAAAATCCCGCCAAGCTCTACAGTGAGTGTCAGTGCTTTGTTTGCATTTCAACAATGACTTACAGGATTCTTTGATTAATCCTATAATTTCTAACATTGGTGCTAAATATGTGATATTTTTTTTCTTTCTTAACTTGCAGTGCCAGTGAAATTGCCCATTTTCAGGAAGTTGTTAAACATCCAGCCTTCAAAGCCGACCCACTTGCTGCCATTTCTGAACATATTAAAAATGCTATACAGAGAGAACAGGAAAATCAGACTGAAGGCTAGAAATTATATTGTCAACTGGGTTTAAAAATCAGCTAAATAAAATTATTATTTTATCATATCAACAGACTGCAGTAATGTATTTTTTAAGATTTAAAAAAGAAGCACAAAATTTTACAAGGAAAATCTTTTTTTTTTTCTTGGCTTTACTACTGACTAGCATGTGCAGACACAGGCATCCCAAGCTCACGTCACAAGATGTAAGCTTGGGACACTTGTGGTGCAGATGAAATTTACACATGTGCAGGGCTGTCACAAATGAGGGTTGCTTGACATTACTTGTTGCTTGCTGTCACATTAAACTCTGTCATTTATCACCATGCTACAAGTGATATCTCCAATGTAAAAGCTGCTCCAAACTAGGCAACAGCCCTGCACAGGTAGGTTTGGCAGAAATTGATGATTACTTTTTGTAGTTTACTTAAAGTGAATGGTGGTCATTCTTCTGGTAAAGAATTTTGGTTCTATTCCATAGTAAAGAACAGAGGAAGGAATAAGAGCCCAATGAAGTGAGGGGAAAGCCAAGATGTAGTCAAGTACTAAGCATATTTCTGTGTTTCTTCTTGTCCAGCTGTATCCAGTTCAGCTGACTATGCTGAAAATTTTTAGCCAAGTACCAATATGTAGATTACTCTACATTTCCAATCTATTTTTGGAACAGCTGATTTTAGATTTCGATCCCCGCCCCAACCTTTTTGCACCCATTATAGCCTGAACACCCGACTCTTGGCACTCTTGGCACTCTTGGCACTCTTGGCACTCTTGGCGAAAACAAAGGGAACATGCGCGAAAAAGATCAGACGTGCGTGACCTCTCGCTCGCGTGTGCTGGAGTGAATCTCCCAGTTAGTTCTGGTCACATTAAGCATGAGGTCTTCACTCCAAAAAGAAAAATAACATATTCTCAGTAACAATTATTATCATGTAGTTATAGCGGTAATCAGTGTCCAAAGTAGTGCGGGATACGCCAGCTTCTTTCAAGGAGTAACAAAGAGATTCGACGGTCTCACAACTTCTACTTGTTTGCGTGACACTCAAGTAAAGGAAGTACTGGGAACGAATTGTTGGAGAAGCCTGGCATATCTGGTGCAACCAGTGCAACCAACAAGCTAAGGGCGGTAAGTGCAAGAGAGCAAACTTTGTAGAGCTTCTTTAATTTTTTTTTAATATAAGTGACTTTACCTTCAATCTTTCCTTGACGACGGATTTATTGATACTGTGCTCTGCGTTGAATAAATGTTTACTCAGTAGTTATTTGACTAAACGAGCTCAGCTTGATAGGAATTGGAATAAATTAGGTTGTTAATTTGTTTTCTGAACGCTTGCATACTCGATGTGGAAGAACTCTTGATAGATCTTACTACATTTACGTTTAATTCGGATATCTTATCTAATCAACAAAATGCCGATCGTTTGCCAAGCTAAAAGCGCTGACCCAAGTAAGTTCTTTTCCTTGGATACAAGTAATTTTCCGCCTCTTTCCCGTTTCGTAAACTATTTGAAGGATCTACTGGAGTGCTCTCTGCGTACTAATGAAAAATCTTAAAATTTGCTGTCTTATTGACAAAAATGCGATAACTTTTTACAGCATCCCAAGGGAGATTTCACTTTTGTTGTATGAATTGACTGAGATGAATACTGATGCAGAAATAGATATCACTTCTCCCCTGGATTTAACCATGAGCAGTTAACTTTAGCTTTGTGAGCGTGTTATTGATCGGCGCTTTGTCTACTTTTTTCAGCCTTCCAAAGAGTTTTATCTTGCCTAGAACAGATTCGTCGCAAGTTCGATAGCCATCAACATCAAGATGCAGACTTCCAGTTTTTGGGCAGCAGGAATGACTTTTGGAAATTTTTCAAGGTTACTATATCAGCATCTGAACCTTTGTGCCTCACAATCTAGTACTAGATCTCAAGTTGTCAAACAGTGGTGTTAACTCAGCATAATGTTAGGAAGATCAAAACAAGTCTGATCTCAAAATTATTTGTACCCTTCAATTGGACCACTAATTTCATTTCATTTATTCATGATCTGTGTGTTAATAGCACCTTTAGTGAGTAAGAAAGATGATGAATTTGTGGCTTTATCATAGAATTAAAGAATATGTTATTTTAGTCATATAGCACAGAACAAAGAAAATAGTATCACTCTGAGTTTTATTTGGCAATTCAGTATTGAACTACTGCCACTGCAAGTGAACAAGACAATTAACCCTCTAACTTCCAGATGTGATTAACATGTAACTTCTCTCTTTAATATGCATACACTATCCAGCATAAAGGTAGTAGGAGTATTTAAACTAATACCAGATAGAAGTTTTAACTTGATCTAACACCAAATTCCCATCACTAACTTACTAGCAAATGTGTAGTGACTAGTAGGGAGAATTAGTAATCAGATCTTGGGAGTTACAGGCATTTAATATACTGTTGTTGAGTGGTGTCAACTGTGACAATATAGTAAATTTTGCTTGGGCTCAGTCATTAAAGCAAAGAATTTAAAGATTTCAAGACAAATTGACAACGTTCTTTCTTTAATGAGTTCGTTATTGAATGCCTTTCATGAACTTTGTAAACAAGCACCTTATTCATACTGAACTCCACCAAACAAGGTTGTCATTTTTATTTCTTTGTCATAATTTATGTTCAAATATTAACAGTTCCATGACACAGAGAAGGAAAAACTTCATGTTGAAGGCAAGAGGGCAGTTGATCTTGCAGACCAGGTTTGGTTATATTAATGACTAAAAAGTGTTGTCCTTGCTCTCTCCTAATTAATTCTGATCATGAATAGCAATGTTGCCTCAATGAGTAAAAACTCAAGGCCACTTAATCCATTGCGGTACATTATTCAGCCAAAACACAATCAGTTAATGATGGACAGTTTCAAACCAAAAATTAAATCAGACTTTCTTTACTTGGTATATCTCTCACTGTTTCCCTCATTCACTTGTCAGTTGATATCATTCACATTTCTGTGTGACCTTGCAATATCCTCAATTTTAGACTCATTTTATGTACTTTTTGTCATTTAGCTTTTGGCGGTTCCCATTCCTCCAGCAAGCACCAACAAGGAAATGCAAGAGCTGCAACATATCCTGACAAAACCACACTTTAAGGTAGAGAATTGGAAAAGTCCTCTGTCTCTCTTTATGTAATTCAGGGCAGAATTTTTAAGATGACTATTCCGTGGGTAACAATTAGTCTGACTTAATTTTTTTCATTAAGTTACCAATTAAGAACCTTGTGGGAATATGAGTGTAAGTTGTTAATAAACATAGGTGTTCTTTACCCCTTTCACCTGAACATCAATATGCATATTCTCCATACTGTTCTCTATACATTTCATAAGGTGCTAACAAGGGGAATTTGTTTAACAGTTGAGAGCTTCTTGAGTTAACCTTAATGTGTGATTCATGGGTGATATAGTAAGGAGAGATAAGATGCTTATGGCTTCTTCTGGGTTTGTATAGGACCTGGAAAACCTAGAAAGTCATGGATGTTACAATTTCATTTTCCAGGCCTAACAATTCACGGAATTCAGGTTTGGCTCATGGAAAATCATTTAAAGTCATGGGAAATCAAGCAGCTTTCTATGAGTGCAAAGCAATGCAGATATAAAGTTGAAAAATTAACAGACAAGTAAAAAACAAGATCTAATTTCAGTAAAATTAAACATTAGTGCATGTTGCAAGTCCTATGCATGGGGACATTTTAGTTTATACTGCATTCTTCCATGAAATCTATGCAAATTTGTGAGATATTTAAAATGAATCAATCAGTACAATTGCTTAACTTAGGTCACGGAATTTTCAAAAAGTTATGAAGAAAGTCATGGAAAGTCATGGAATTTTCACAGCTCAAAAGTGTTTGAACTCTACCATAGGGTCCAAATGAAAAAGCAGAATTTAAGTTCATTTTACCAATTTTGGTTTTGGTTATTGTCTTTTTGGCATATCTTTCAGGGTCTTCTTCAAGCCTATGATTCAATACAAGCAAGTGATTTCTCTCCAGTAATCTTTGAAGATGAAATAGAGAAGGAGCCGTCATTTACTGACCTGGGTTCAGAGCCAGAAAAAGAAGACATTGGTCAAATCATCTCTGTAGAACATCATCAGGAAAATGCTGAAGGCAATGATGATGACACATTCTCTGCTGAAACGAGTGTCACTACAGTTTTTATTGATTATGTTGATTGTGGAGTTGATAGTGATTATTGTGTAGAATCCAAAGATGTTGATGAAGCTGAGGGGGCTGAAGTAAGGAATATTACAGAGAACTTTACAGAAAAGGGCAATGGCAACACAGATCTCTTGTGGTTAGACACAGATGAGACTGATGGTAATGAAACAGAGGTGTCAGAGAACTTTGCAGATAAGGGAGAAGACACAACAGATCTACCTGGGTTGGACAGGCCAACTGTTTCTCAAACTTATGCCACTGACTGCACCCTGGAAGTAGAGGAACAAGGCAATAAAAAAGCAAAAGATACACTAGAATTTGACAACAGAGAGACACAAATCAGGGATGTCCCTATTACAACCGACATTGAAAAAGACACATCAGTTAAGGAGGCCTCTATTGAAGAGAATGGTTTCAAAGAAAAGGAGTGTACCATTGAAAACATCAATGTAGATGGGAGTGGGCTTCAACCCAGTAACAGTGCTGTGAAAACTGTCATCTTGTTTAGGAATTCCAAAGAAACCCTTGTAAGTGTTTTTTAAAAAGATTGGTTTAAAACATTGTCAATGTGGATATGAGAGCGTATACAGGAAACCATTATACTAAATTGTACTTTTTTTACATGGTATTTATTGTGGGTTTTAATTTTTCTTTAGATTTAAACTTCACAAAACTAATTGTCTTCAACACATTTCCCTTCATTCATATTATTGAAAAACTTGACTTTTATTTAAATTAAATTATTGATCAGAAGAAGATCTATTTTCAATCCTGTGGATAAGATAGTTCTTTTGGATTGACGATTCTGATTGTGGTGTCAAATAAAATAACAGAATTGATGTTATTATTCAGATTCTGTAAACTATTTAGACTTACTGGTAGGTAATAGAAATATATTGTGTCTTAGATTAATAGTTGTTTTAAAATCATTAATATTGTTTTTTCAGGGAATCACAGTCAAAGCTGTTTGCAGCAATGAAAACAAAGAGAAAATTATTGTTGCAAGAATTTTAAGTGGTGGTTTAGCAGATAACTTTGGTAAGAAATTTCTCTTCACAGCTATCATAGGGCTTCTCTTTCTGATAATTGAGGATCTTAGGCCCTGAAAATAACTCCAGGCCATGTTTTTACAGTTGTTTATAGACAGCAAGGGAGGGTTAAAAAAAGCCCTTGCAAAGTGGGGGCTGAGGAAGCTTTAGGTATGCTCTTTCCTTGCGGTCTCATTCCACATTTCAGTTAAGGCCAGTATTAATAAAAACCAATCATTGGCAGTTTACTGTGGCTTGGCCTGCAGAGCAGCTGTGATTTTCCTGGGAATGAGTGCTCAGTACTTTTTTGGTGGAAATTATGGCTGCCATCTTTGATTTTTATGGTAGTGAAAGGCTGTACCAAGGGGGTAACCAGGACTCAAAGGAAGGAGAGGGAAGGAAATAGAAATCGTGTCTTTCCCCAACTTCTTCCACCATCCACTCTTACACCAAATCAAACTTGGCCAGCCAGATAAGTGATTGTGACCTTGTAATGCTAAGTCATCCTAATAAGATTTCTCCCTGCAGGCTCATCGTTATTATGCCTTCTTGATAAGATCTTTGAATTCTTTTGTTTTACTTCAAGCTTCCCTGTATGAGAATGACGAAATTTTGGAAATAAATGGTAGACCTGTGAATGGACTGACTGCCAATCAAGTTGCAGAGATCATGGTAATAAGTATTGTTGCTGACTTGCTTTGACTGAGGAATTGTTAGAGAGTGATAGATTGGTGCAGAGTCTTCATTCATCCATAATTTTTTTTTCTTTGTCATGCCATGAAGGAAGTAAAATAATTTCATGGCTACTATCATAATGGCTATTTTCTGTTATGACACACAAAACATAATATGGATTGACTCCTGAATATCTACAATTCCAAAATATATCCTGAAATTTAATTACTTTATACTGATTACTGATTAACCTGTAAACCCTTAAGAGTGATTAACATCTAATTTCTCCTTGCAACATCACCCCTGAATCAAACATGAAGGTCATAGGAATAAAGATGATCACCAACTAATTAAAAGACGCTCTTGATTATTGAACAAGTTCTCCTTGTAAGAACCTTAGGAAATGTCAAGGGAGTATTATGGAGAATACACATACTGATGTTAGAGATTAAAGGCTTAGTGTAACAATAGGATTCTTTTTGTTTTAACCTAGGATGGAATAACAGGCAGTATTGAAATAAAGGTTTTACCAACCAACAAAGACAAGAAACTTACCAAAGAAACAAAGGTTAGTTACCATGGTGACTGTAAACATTCCATGATATATTATTTGGCGGCAATGTCCTTTTTTTTTTCTCTAAGACGATCATAGTTCAGTCTGTTACTGTATAGTTTTGTAAGCAGCCAGTTCCAGTCAAGCAGTCCTTATTCCTTTCCTATTTTTTCAGTTACGCTACCACATAGCTTCCACCAGTAGTTTTGGGCCATTGTGAAAAATGAGAAATAAATTAGGCATGTTAATTTATTTTATTTTGTAATCTTGAGTTTTTTATGCCATAGATCAGTTTAAGAGCATTTTTTGATTATAACCCACTACAAGACCCACTGATACCCTGTAAAGAGGTGGGTGTTGCCTTCAGGGCAGGTGATGTGCTTCATGTGGTGAACATGGATGATGCCAACTGGTGGCAGGTAAGCTAAATCAGACGGTTCACTAGCAAAAATGTGTTTGTGGACAGTTTTCACAGCTGTTAGCTTGAGCAAGTTAGCTTTCATTTGTTGGAAAGATAGGGGGACTCCCTTATCCCTCTCGCTTTCACCACTTACCTACAGCCCTTAACCCCCAGCCATTGTTCCCTCTCCCCCATATCAGACTGCTTACCCTTTACCATAATCAACCCTCACCTCACACTTCACATGACCTCTCACCTCACTTCATATAACCTTTCACCCCTTCACCCCTAGCTTGTCATCCATCAATCCCTTCAATCTTTACCTCCTGGTCATCTTAACCTTTGCCCTACACCCATCTTTCCCCTAACCTCTCTACCCTTCATTCTTTACACCCTAAAATCATTATCTACATTCTCCATACTCTTCTCCATACCTTTGGTACTAAAAAGGATAATTTGTTTTATAATCAAAACTTCTAAGGTTGGCGATCATTTGTCTTTTTTCTCATGACTATAATGAGTGACTCAGCAGTTTTACTGTGAGGAGAAATTAGATTCTGGTCAGTCTTTGGGTTTAAAGAGTTAACCCTTAAATCTCAACCAAAGCCCTTTGCAGCTCTCCTCTCTTTCTACCATTCCTGATCACAACATTTCCTACTTTGAGCTGCCATCTGACCCTCCTCTTAACAGGTATTTGTACAGGTTTTTCCATGAAATTTGAGGACCAATTTCTCTGAGTGAGGTACTCATGAGCAAAAACTTTGCCCAGCTGTTAGTGCCAGGGCCTTGTGTTGCAATAATTGAAGAACATGTACTGTGACTTTCTCTCTGATACAGGCCAGAAAGGATGGCTGCAATCATGACAAAGCAGGTCTTATTCCAAGTAAAGATTTTCAGGAAAGGTAATTCATAGTTTGCTCTCTTTTTTACCATTGTGTGCATTGCAAGTTGTGATGAACAGAACTCCCAAACCTGTCTGTCATTTAAAGCCAATGTAGTGCATGTATGGCCACAAACATGTTATAGATGACAGATACTGGACAGTCTTTCAAATATTTCTTTCAAAAGCTGGGTAACTTTTTCTGTTCTGACAGGAGAATGCCAATCAATATGTCTTATTTCCTGGTAGTTGATATGCACTTGGACTGGTGATTGCCATTATCCTAATGATAACCATAATTTCATTAAATTTATCACAGTTTTTACGTATTAAGTAGATTGAGCACATTTATTGTAATTAATTGTTGAAAATACAAATGACCAATTGAAATTGGCTTCAGGTGTTAATCTGATTGGTTGGCTAAAGGAAATCCAAAACAATTCTAGATTATACTTTCAACACTCTTTTAAAAATTGCCCTATTGCGTATGTGGCTTTATTATTATCATCATGATTCTTTATTGAGCACATTGTCAGTTATGCTTAATTTGACTTATTTTTTTACTAAAATGTACTGATTTCTCTCGATATGTTAGAAGACAGCAATTGAACAGAATTTCTTCCACAAATGATGTCACAACTCAGAAAGACAAAAATGGTAAATAATGAAATGCGAGATTAACACCAGGAGCAATACAAAATGCCAAAGTTAAAGGTGTTTTAGTAGGTCATGAAAATTATTAAACATGTTGAGAATTAATTAATATAATGATATAATATTATATTATTTGACACTATTTTTAAGGCAACTCACAAAAAAGTTTGGTTATAGCAATGCATTTGATAATTGGCGTTTGCAGATAATGAAACAATTTTGAGCCACCTTATGTAAGATAGAAATAAAATTTCAAATAAGTGCTCAGGCTTTATCGGAGGAAATAAAGTGTTAAATAATTAAGAATTTTTTTTTAATTTGGAATTATTTGTGACCTTAATGTCTGATTCAGCAGTAATACAGTTATGAAAGATTAGATGCCAGTCACTCTTGAGTGGTAATCTGTCATGAATCCTGAGCAATATGTTCTCCACAGGAAAACTCACTTCACCATTCAAGAAAATGAGGAAAAAAACAGACTCTAATAAAGTGCTTTGCGATTTCTTGAAAGGTTGGTGTCTCTTTGTAAACAGATAATAATGTATGTTCTATATATGTATTTATAGTAACTCACACATTATTAGGATTATAACATGCAAATCAAAATAATGATGGATATCCCAGAATTTCTCTTAATGTTGGCAGTTTAGTTTAAAGCTCTTAACTTACTTTAAATTGTTTGCGGATGTCTACTCTTTATTGACCCACAAGCAATAAATTTGTTACTTTTCAATCATGTTCCACAGAGTGTTGTTTATTTACTAAATTTTGAAATTTTTTAATTACTATTTTTTCATAACATTTATTTAATGTTCTGATGTTTTGAAAGACTTTCTATAATGTTATAAATCATTGAAGAGATGATTTGATCTATTTAAACTGCAGATATACCAATTCTTGGTTGGCCAGCTTATGAGCCAGTTGCAAAATATTTACAAAGACCGGAGAAAAAGCGTCTGCTTTTACTGATCGGTGGGTAGATAAAGTGACCAATTTTCCTCAAGGGAACAATAGTTTTTTCTCAATTAAAGGATGTCCTAAAAAAATTTCTGCCTTAGACCAGAGGAAAGGTTTTCTGTTAAGGATTATAATGGGGGAAAAAAGGTGAAAAGTGCATTAGAACTTGGTGATCTAGTGACCAAATTGTACATTGCAAGCCAGATAATTTCAAGTTTATCTTGATCTTAAAAATTTTGTGAAGTGAGATACTGTTAGACATGCAAATGGTCACTTTACCTGAGGGAATTTTACAGACAGAATTTAATAATAAACTTCAAAATTATTTTCAGGAGCACCAGGTGTGGGAAGGAATGAGTTAAAGAAGATGCTACTGTCAAGTAGTCCTGATAAATTCATAACAACAGTTCCTCGTAAGATTACAAATTAAAATTGAATTCACTTATATTAATAATTATATGTTTAATATGGCCCCAGTTGTTCAAAGGTTGGATAGCACTATCCACTGGATAAATTGCTATCCAGTAGATAGCACAGTATGTTTTGTCATCACTTACCTGCTATATAGCAATTTATCTGTAGGGTAGTACTAACCTTTCACTCCCATGAGTGACCAAGTGAGAATTTCTCCTTACAGTGTCAATGCAATATCAAGCAGACAAGTGATGAGAATAAAGAAAATAGCGATTAGGGAATTTTTAGTTGATCCAATACCAAATTCTCCAAACTAACATCATAAAAATTGTATAGCAGATAATAAGAAGAATTACTGATGAGATCTCGAGAGTGAAAGGGTAATAACCACCCTTTGTACAACTGGGCCTATTTAGCAAAATTTGTTTTTACCAGGTTTAGAGTAACCTTTAGGGAACTTCGCTATCCATGTTGGTAAATACATTTTTACAAAAGTTTGATGCTCCAAAAAAAATAAAAACAGTATCTGCTTCAATCAGTACTAACACCTATAGGAAAAAGTAAAGGGAAACATTAAAAATCAAACCATACAGTCAGGGAAATTGTAGTGTATGACTGTTTGCTTTTTTTCATTACGATTGTTATTTACCTTGGACGTTTATCAGTAAGCCTCCGCTTCATGTATTAACCCTTGACACCCTAACATCAGTAAAGGTGTTCTCCATACTGTTCTCTATACATTCCCCAAAGGTGCTGACAAGGAGAATTTGTGTAACAATCAACAACTTCTTTAGCTGCTGATAATTTTCTTTATTCTCATGACCTTACTGCATGATTCAGGGGTGATATTGTAAGAAGAAATTAGATGCTAGTCATTCCTAGGGGTTAAAGGGTTAACCCCATTTTTCCTGGCTCATTCTCAAACACATTGAGTATAGCCCATTTGATTGGCTCATATTTTATGAAGTATTTTGACACTAGTTTAATAATTACTGCACAAGAAAAGGACCTTTTTAAAATGTTTTATTTCGTGGCATAATTTAATTTTTTGTCTTCCTACCTTCAAGCACCAAGGTGCTGATCAGTCTGGTACTTTCTATTGAATGAATAACAATTGATGCTTTACACAAAATTTATTTTCTAGATACTTCCAGACATATGAAGAGTTATGAAGCAGATGGCAAGGATTATTTTTTTGTATCAAGACAAACTATGGAGAATTTTATCCAGAAGAGGAAATTCATAGAATTTGGAGAATATAAAGGTTGTCTGTATGGTACCTCAAAGGATTCTATAACCAGAGCTCTGAAATCCAGGAAGACCTGTGTCCTTAAGGTTCAACCTGAGGTGAGTCGTGATTAAAGTTACTCTCAACCTTGAGCAGCACCTTTGCTTTCAACAGATTGGTTTAAATCCTCAACTTGAAGGTGGGTCTGGGTCCTGTTTGTTGGAATTTTTGTTATAGATTGACAGTACAATTATTTAATGCAATACAAAGTAAAATTAACATCGCAAGTTGAAGTTACTGGTCAGGAGTGTGGCCTCAAATTAAATCACCAAATCTGGCTTGTAGGTGATGTTGCTATTACGAACAACAGAGTTCAAGCCATACTGTGTCTTTGTGAAGCCTCCTTCTCTGAAGGAACTCCGCACATCAAGACTGACAGTACAGACGAAAAAAAAGAAGGCTTCAGATAAGTCCTCCATCAGGACATTCAGCGTAAGTCTTATTGACAAACAGGCAGACTGGAAATAGTCCCTCTTTCTTATCGTAATGTGAAGTATAGTAAAGCAAGGGAAAGTCTGTACTGGAGCCAACAGTCCAACCAACCTTGGCTTATCTCTGTTTCTATAACATGACAAGACTGGAAATATTCCCAATCCCATTGGATGGGATGTTACCCCCTATAGTTGCATATTACCCCTTGTTATTGTATGGACCAGTCCAGTAGTGGATGTCGCATCCATTTGTAACTCCACCTGAAGTAACTGTAGAATTGGACTGGCTTCCCATCATGGGGGAACTAACAATTTCCACTTCACGCTACTTAAACTGGGATAACCCCCAGTCAGGCTTGAAAATTGACATTAGCTTAAGTTCATAGGTAATTGTTTTAAGTGTGGTGGCCCCCCTCCCCTATCTCACATTCTGGCACTAAATATTATGATTTGTAATTAGTCCAAAACTATGCTTGTCATATGAACATAGCAATAGCCACCTAGCTCACTGTAGAGTCAGTAAAGGTAAAGAATCCAATCCTACTGACACGTTGGCTAACGTGTCGGCCGACACACTACCAAGAGTCTCTGTGGCTCGGTAATAGAACATTTGAGTGCAGAATGCAAAGGTCTGTGGGTCATTTCTTCATGGGGACTTGGAATTTTTTTCTTTTTGACATTTAAGGAAAATAAATCCTTCTACCTTTATCATATTCAGTAAAATTGAAAAATATCAGAATGGAAAATTAAACCAATCAGGTTCCAAATTAAGATCATGATGTAAATCTAAACTTGTGAATTGTCCTTCGTAAATAAGTGATTCGAGCTTGAATAACCTTTTCATTGATACGCAGGAGGAGGAATTACAAGAAATGATCAGTACTTCTAGAATGCTGGAGGAGACCTATGGAAGATTCTTTGATCTGACAATAGAAAACAAGGACATTGAAGAAGCTTATGTCAGCATTGTAGACACATTTGAAAATCTTGAACAGGAAGAGCAGTGGGTCCCTCTGGACTGGACCCAACAAAGCTAAAAGAAGATCTGATATCTTATGTATAAAGTGTGAGGCTGGTTGTATCATCTAGGTTTTGGATATGATTTAATTGTTCATATATTCATATGCTGCCCGTTTTAGGAAAGATTTCATTTAGTTTTTCGCTTATTCATTAGTACTACAGTACTAACAGTGTTCATCAGTACTACAGTACTAACAGTGTTCATCAGTACTACAGTACTAACAGTGTTCATCAGTACTACAGTACTAACAGTGTTCATCAGTACTACAGTACTAACAGTGTTCATCAGTACTACAGTACTAACAGTGTTCATCAGTACTACAGTACTAACAGTGTTCATCAGTACTACAGTACTAACAGTGTTCATCAGTACTACAGTACTAACAGTGTAGGTAGGAAGCATGCCCTCCTTTAGTGTTCTGTTTATTCATCAGTACTACCGTACTTAAAGTGTGTATGCAGCACTGTACAGTATTTATGTCTTAGTCCAGAAGCCAGATAGCAACTACTGCAGTCATACTTAGATTTTCTCAAACGGGATGACTAGCGTCTCAGCCATAACGGTGATAACTGTCTCACTAGCGTTCCAACGTACTAGCGTACGAACTCCACATCTTCAACAACCATGAATGACCTGCGTCCTTATGTACTAGCGTTCGATCAGAGGACTGCATGTCTCTAGCGTACCAACGTACTAGCCCACTAACTACACTTCTCCAACAATCATGAATGACCCAAAATAGGAATCTTTTTTCTAGTTTTTCTGCTTAATACGGATGATTAAGGTACTTTTAAAATTAAGCTGATTTGATCAGACTTGTTTATTTATTTTGCTTTTTTATTCTTGTGATGTTCTTGTCCATTATAAGCCTGAAAACTTAATCTTTCTTTTATCTGTTTTTATTATATAGATACTGATGAAATACCAGGATCTTTCCTTTTACTCAAAAATCATATCTTCATCGCGCGCAGTTAAGATACTATTTTTATCTTTCACGTGTGAGGATATTGGTGTCGCCATGGTTACTAACATGATTAGCCAATTACAAGAGAGCTTCCCGCTCAGGCGCGCGGCTGGTTCTTTTGAAATTTCATTAACAAAAAGTTGTCTTTTATGTAGGAATTTCATCACTATGTATAAAATAAATAGAACATTACATGGCCGCCTGGGGATACGAATTTTAACTTCTTGTGCTGAGAGTGAGCGAAGCGAACGAGTGAGAGATACTTTCAGCACGAGAAGATAAAATTCGTATCACCGCGCGGCCATGTAATATCCTCTATATCTACATCTGTGCTAAGGAATTATTAATTAGTTAATTAATTAAATGATCGGTTAAGAAGAAGATAATTTGATAAGATAAGATGAGTTTTCCGTACCGAGTACTACAGTACTAACGCACTAAACAAATGAAGAACAAGCTGCAATGAGTCGTCTGTACCGAGTACTACGGTATTAACGTACTAGCGTACCAAACAAATGAAGAACAAGCTTTGACCACTAAAACCAGTTGAGCCTATTCAGCTAGTTTGTACGTTTTGTCTATTTAAACCATTTTAGCTGTTTTACCATTTTAACCATGCAGTTGAACCAATTCAGCTAGTTTTTGCGTGTTATCCAGTTGAATCATTTCATCTCATTTGACGATTTTATACAGTTCAACGAATTATGCTTGTTTCTGCATTTTGTTGGCATAAACGATTTTAGCTAATTTGACCATTTTAACCACTTGAGCCAATTCAGCTAGTTTGTGGGTTTTGTCGGTTTGATATATTTCAGCTAGTATGACCTTAATTGTTAAACACGAACTATTTCAGTTCGTTTGACCAATAAGCTAATTTATGGGTTTTGTCGGTTTGAGAACGTTCAGGCAGCCATTAGGTATCGACCGTTTCTCAAGAAAAGCGTCATCAAAGATAAGAAAACGATGGCGATGATGAGAGGACAACAATTAAAAAACACGTGTCCTCTTTAAAGGAAACTCAGGAAAAGATCATGGGTGAACTTTGAGTGTCCAGCGTGTTCTTAATGAGCTCTGCGTCAATCAGTGGGTTATGTTTGTAAAATAGCGAGTCTTGCCGTCTAAAACGCTTTCAGAAATGGAACTAACATTGGCTTGTTGTTCATTTGTTACGGCGCCAGTGCATTAATACTCGCGTGGTCGGTAGAAACATCCACCACAGATTGCTCATCTGGTTAGTGCGCTAGTACATTAGTACTGTAGTACTCGGTACAAACACTCACCGCGGCATGTTCATTTGTGTAGTACGTTAGTACCACAGAACTCGATACGGACAACCCATCACGGCTTTTTCTTCATTTGTTTAGTGCGCTAGTACGTTAGTACTGCAGTACTCGGTACGGACAACTAATCACGGCTTGTTCTTCATTCGTTTGGTACGCTAGTACGTTTGCACTGTAGTACCCGGTACGGACAACTTATCTCGGCTTGTTCTTCATTTGTTTAGTGTGCTAGTACGTTAGTGCTGTATTGCTCGGTACGGACGACTCATCACGGCTTGTTCTTCATTTGTTTGGTGCGCTAGTACGTTATTACATGTCTTGCACAACACAGTCCAGTCAGTCAGAGTTTGAACTGGGACCTTTCGATCTGGAGTCCAGCACTCATAAAAATTAAGCCGCTACATTTCCTACATCTTAAGTTTTCTAAAGAGGGGGTCGTAGTTACTGTAATCTTTAACTAGTTCCTACATCCTACGGAAACAATTGCTTAACATGACAATTATGTTAGTTACTTGACTGGACAAGTAGAATATACAGCTCTATACCAAGGCTGTCTAAACCCAAACCACACCCAAAAATTTCCCGAGTGCAAAAATGGCGACCTATTTCATTTGTTTTACCATTGTAAAGAAAAAAGATGCTGGCTGAATAAGCCAGCTTTCCCTAGCTCTTTAAAAGATGTGGCTTTAACGTTGTGTTTCGAAGTTTTACACTCGCACCAAGCATTTACGGCACACGGCAGAGGTGAGTCCATTTGCCATTTCTAAGTGATTGTAAGCAGTTTCGTGTTAACCAAAAACACGATCATTCACGTATTCTTCTTATTTATTTTTAGGACATGTAGTAGGGAATCTAGTGTTTGTTGTGAACGCAAGTCTAGATCTTTGCAATATGTTCATAATTTTCCCCAAACATGCATGTACATTATGCAAAATGCTGCTGTGCGCATTTTTTACGAATATCTGCAATAAAGTTATCATCAACAAACATTTACCCACATACGAAAAATTATCTTACCTGAATGAAGACAAGCTAGTAAAAGAGAGTTTAAAAATTTTCACTAAAGTAACTCTTTCGTATCCAGAGACAGTGACGACCTTGCAGAGAATGGGGAATTTGGCCTGGCTGGAATCCAAATCACTGAACCAAGTACTAACTTCCTTAACGGTTTAATTACAGCGGAGCTCGCACCACGCGCAGCGTAGCCCCATAATTATACAAAATAGTAGTAACCCATTAAGCCGAAAAAAATTTGGACTCACAACCGTTCAGGCGTCCGTACAAGGTGCTACTTTTTAGCATGTGCCGCCAACTGTACCGCAGGCACTATTGTGACGATAGGTTTTCGCACACTCTAACTGGACTTCGCGGGGACGTACAAAACGGGGGGAAATAACTCGGTAGAGACCACTCGGCTTGCGAGAACGGAAACTCGTCACGATTTCCTGGTACACGGCCATCTACTTCGAGTTAGCTTGTACGGACGTCAAGGGTGAGACAGTGTTTTGGTTCCACAGTAGGCTTTTATTCTAGGTCAGGTCAACAAGCGACATGACCTCTAGCGTACTCAAGTTTGTAATCATCAAAGCTGTACAAGGTACTTGCTTAAGAACTAACTGGTGTGAGGTGCTATTGTTACACAAATCGCAATATTTGAATAAGGACACAAAGGAGCGGAAAAAGTCTCTTTGAAGTTAAACGAAAACTACTTAGATATTTCATCTGTCTCTACGAGGAAAATAATCTCAAAATTAAAAAGATGGATGCAATAAACTCGAGGCCATTAAAGTAGGAAACTTAGGTGCGAATTCACAGCTCTGGTATAGAAAATAATACCTATCTTAATTGCAGTAGCGCAGCTTAGTAAAAATAAAAACGGAAAAGCAATTATATGCAAGGTTGGTGTAGAAACTATCGTATGAAAAGAAATTAAAGTTACGAGTATAAACTCAGGTGCTAACTACCATGAAAACCAATTTTTCCAGAAAGGCCATTAACACTTATATTTACCTAAAAAAAACCAGTAATAAATAACAAGAGTGCCGACAAGCAGGTGCATATGATAAAGGCGAGTAACAAACAAGAATCTATTCCTAAAGCTACTGTGGTTTTTATACATTTTTTGATTTACTAGGATGAAAGAACCTGAATTAACTCGAACAAATTGAATATAGTTAAATGTGAAAGTTTACGAATAAATATGTTCCGAATAACAACACACGGAAAAGTCAGTAAATTTTCCCGTAACACTATCTTAGCCATTACGTAATGGTAGGGCGAGGGAGAAGGTAATGCACAGGCGCAATTGCGTGCATAACTTGGATACCCCATTAATGTGCGCCAGGAGACACCGGCAGACGACAATGAAGCGCGCATAGTCAAGTGCCGACCTTTAGCGCTGCGTACCGCGGGCACACGGTTAGGAATTACACGAGGGTTTCAAGTGGGCTGGTAGATGTGAAGCCGTGTAAGCAAATAATTTGCAACCCGCGTTTTGAGCGGGAAATCAAACTGTTGAGGTTGTAGTTGAACGGTAATTCTTAGTATTTTGCAGTTTCTAATCAACTCGCAAAGCAACAATACCGGCAAAGCTAAAACTTTCCAACCTGAGGAAATTGACATCATTCAAGTTCGTGGAGAGGGGATTTTGAGTGAAAATAGGCTGGAAAGAAAGAGGCAGAGCGACCAGAGAAAGCAAGAGGTAAAAGGTGTAAAGCGAGTCGAGGAAAACGCGGAAGAAAGTTAGAAAGGACGCTAAAATAGGCAGAATACAACGAGAAGAAAGCGAAAGAGAACAAGAAAAGGCATTAGTAAAAAGGCGAATATCCAGTTAATAAGCTGTTTGCAAGTAATGAAAAGCGAATTGGCAATCATACCTTAATTCTTGACATGCTTCACTCAAACAGGTCAGTTGTGTGTACCTACCATTGTAGAGGTGTCTTTAAAAATATTTTTTTGGTGTGGCTGTTGTTCTTTATTGATCTTTG